AAAGTTTTACAATAATTGCTCATAGACAGATAATCGCTATGTTTGTATAGTCACTTATCATCATCACAGACGTTGAATTGGTTATGATCCAAACTAGATATTATTATGCAGTAATGGACTAAATTGATTAATTAAATTAGTAGTAAATTTTTTTATTGGTCTTTTTGTTGGGTTTAAATGAAGCCAAGGAATAATGATTGTAATAATTTATATATTTCTGATGTACCAGATATTGTAATAATTTATATATTGGCTCTTTATCAGGTTTTGGGGGATTTAATTTTTTTTGTCTGCTGTACTGTATTGTTTTCATTATATTTTGAATATACATTTTGGAATTAAAAGTCTTAAAATCATGATGACTCCTTAATTTAAGAACTTGAAGCAAAACAAAATCGTTTTTGAGTTGAATTTATTGAAGAAATTTCTTTAGCAATATAAAGTTTCCATAACACATTTATATAATCATTTGTATATAATCATTAAATGTAAATATGTAAACATTGTTATATTGGGTGTAGCTATAATTCTAATCTGGGACAATGTTGTACATCAGAGAGGGACATGTTGGACTAACTGGTATCTTCTGATTGACAGTGAATCTTTATCAGTACTGACGTCAAACCACAGTGTACTTGAGATAAAATATATCAATAATTGCTCCATTTTGACACTTTGAAGCACACTTTATCTTGAAATTATAAAAAGTTCAAATACTCGTTATTGTTTTAAACCCAAATACTGATTTAATTGTGCTTCCGATTTGGAGTTTAAAGGTGTTTTTGATCCATTAAAATTGTTGCAATAAAACCAGCCTGTCCTCTATTTTACTATTGTAATTGAATTAATTATTCATTGAAGTAAACTCACCTTTGTATTAGTAGCCACATGCACAGTCTAACCTCCCCTGATGATGATTTAATGTGACCACCACACCTACATTGAACCATCTTAAAACTGTCCATTCTTTAGGGGTTTGTTGATAGTGTTAGTAAAGATTGGTTTTACTTTGATTTATTTCTATGTAAAATTTATATTTTAGGGGAGATAATCCAGACAAAAAACGTGTTTTGTATTTTTATTGTAAAAAACAGTTTGGTGAAATTATGCAGATATCTCTAATCTTCCTGTTTAACTGCCAAAACTTTCTCTGCTAGGTTAAAGGAAGTATTGAAGTTAGTAGAGGAAGGAAAACTCGGTTAATTATTAACATCAGTCCTTATTTTAAGTTGTTTTAGTGTAAAAAATGAAGCAAGATTATTTACGTAGATCTAGACATAACATATTTGTTTACAACTTAATGGAACCAGATATCATATATGTTTACTACAGTTGTCATTTAATTGTAACACATAAAGTTAGGCATGCAATTTAAAAACAAAAACAAGGTCAATCTTTATTTCAAGCAGATTTTATCTTCAGGAAGCAATATACTTAAGGTAAATGACAAATTAATAATAGCCAGCGCTTCTATTTGTTCATTGAACCAATTTGCGCAATTCAGCATTTGTTTATGAATAACAGTTTCTTTTTAATACTGTAGATTAAAATCTTGCAAGTGAAGGATGTTGCATAGAAAAAAATGAGGAAAGATTATTTTCATTTTGTATTAAAAAAATGGATCGAAGGTTGTTATTCTAGGTTTGTAGACAGCGAAACAAGACGCTTGTAATTAAGACACCTTTTGACAAAAAACTCAAAGTGACAGCGATACTTATGGCAGACAGACTATTGTTAGTGAAAAGATCGAAGGATAATTAAACAGTCTTGTCAAATAACGCAGAACATGTTTAATTTTGACGCCAGGCTATACAGCCCATACAGCCCGTATGTTTTTATGTATTTGAATAAGGAAAAGAGAATGGTAAAGTAAACATGAATGATTTGTACAGTTCCACATAACTTGCTCTGTATGACTTGTTGATTGTTTGCTTCACTTATTCTCTGATATGAGAATGCAACTGGTTTTTTTATGACTTCTCAGACGTTTTGTACTACTTTCTGAAAGAGCTGCAAATAAAGCAAAGCATTGTTTGAAGTTGTTTTTTTTTATTTTATATATTTTTTTATAAGAACTAGGTCAATGCAACACGATTCAACAATGATCTGTCTGTAACCTGATATTTGTTTTCCCTGCATGTTACAATCAGTATGTTTATTTTTAATTTCAATGCATGAAAACATTTTGAAATTTTGAATCAACATACTTTATTGTATAGAAAATAAGAAATTATGTTTACAAAGCAAAAATGAAATGAATAATTTTAGTATTTATTATATTCTTTAACACTCTAGCATGTTATAATTGTTTATAAACATATTGCAAGCACTTGAGCATCTGGTAATATAGGATTGCTGGGGAAATAATATTCATTAATTTTTATTGCGGTCAAGTCACATGTGTTTGTACTTGATAAATTCTGTCATAAAAATGGCAAAAAGTATGAACCAATACTTCACCAGTACTTGACTGCTGATACAAATAATCTGTTTATGACTGGAATATGAGAGGTGCGGCAACATATGAATTGAACATACGATTCTTTCAGAAGAAGAAGCTTATTCATTTGCACACAATGTTCCTCTAGAGAAAAATAAAAATATTGTTTTAGTAGAATCATCATAGGGAAATCAGTTGTGCATATCAGTTAAATACCATGTGAGTAATTTATAGATAACCAATTTTCAATACATACTAAAGACAGATGAATGATAGCTTTGAACTTCTTGCTTTCCAATTTATAATGTATTAGAATATTCCACATTCTCAGAAAGTTAAAGATAACAGTAGAAACAACAGTAGAAACTTGAAGGTTGTTGAATCAGTCTTCATTTATGATTTCATTCTGATGCCCAGTTGGTTGCATAAGTGTTCATTCTGATGCCCAGTTGGTTGCATAAGTGTTCATTCTGATGCCCAGTTGGTTGCATAAGTGTTCATTCTGATGCCCAGTTGGTTGCATAAGTGTTCATTCTGATGCCCAGTTGGTTGCATAAGTGTTCATTCTGATGCCCAGTTGCATTAGTGTTCTGTCTTGCTATCAAAAGAAACTTAAATTTATCAGTTGACAGTATGTGCTGTTAATATACTGTAGGCTGCCGATTATGCTTGTCATGAGTTGAAGACTGGTAGTGGTATGAGGATATGTTTTTATGTTTTTTTCTTCTCAAAGTTAATTTCCTTGATTGTGATAAAGATCATTAGTAATGTCTCAGCATAGTCAATGTGGTATAAATTAGTAAGAGGTTCATTTGTATGTATCTGGACCAGTCCATGTAGAATGGTAGATGCTTTGGTTGTCACGATCGCATCTCAAACTCAACATAGTATCTTTGTAGAGGGATTGAAATATGAAGATAAATCAAATAGTAATGAATTTTTATTATATTTGGCCTATATTGCACCAGATAAGCTTATATATACTTATAGGTCAAATAATGTCCTGGCCTGACTATAATTTTCATGTAAACATGACATTCACCATGCAGACAGGTTGCAGAGATCTAAATATGTGACATTTTCTCAATATTTAGTTATTGAAGTGTAGATTTTAGTTTATAGGTCAGTATGTCATAATATGTTAGATATAGATAAATATTGCTAAGATGTCTTTTAAGTGCTTGTTTCAGTGTGAGCTTTCATAATCTACACTAAAAAACTTCTGAATTAATACTTTCTTATTAAAGTACTCTCAGACACTTAAATCTGTGACAGAGCAACAACTATGTATTTTCTTCATTTTATTGCTAAATGCTTCAAGTCAGTAGTTTGAGATTAGGGTCCATAATTTATATTCAATAATATTTGAAAAAAAATATTCACAAGACCTTAATTTGTATAAGTATGTGCTACTATAATATCATAAACCTACCTACTAGTAAATTACATTTACTATAAATAACTTATGGTGACAGTCTTATAACAATAATAATTTCGTCTCCATTTGCAATTCATTTTATTTTTCAAACAAAGATACCATCTTAAGATGATAGATTTTGGAAGGAAAGGGATGAGTTTTCCTGTATAATTGTGATATGATTGAATTATCATTTTGTCTTTTTTGTCACTCTTAGTGTTTTTGTTGTTGTTGTTTTTGTTTTTGCCTCAAGTTATTACTGGATAGCGCTATGGTAGTTTGTGGTTAGATTTATGACTGATATTCACAACTTTTACCTCATAAATAATCTATAATATATCAACACACTGTAATAAGCTATAGCCATAATTGAAAAAAATATGTTCTTAACTAGTTGGCAGAATATCTTTGAATTTATGAATTGTACAATTTTTAGCAGATAACTTATTGACTTGGATATTGTTTTATGAATACTATAGTTGCACAAATGTTAACAGGAGAATTAATTAAACACTTGTTAACAGCAGAATACATTATACACATGTTAACAGCAGAATACTCTACACACATGTTAACAGCAGAATACTCTAAACACATGTTAACAGCAGAATACTCCACACACATGTTAACAGCAGAATACTCTACACACATGTTAACAGCAGAATACTCTACACACATGTTAAACAGCAGAATACTCCACACACATGTTTACAGCAGAATACTCTACACACATGTTAACAGCAGAATACTCTACACACATGTTAAACAGCAGAATACTCCACACACATGTTTACAGCAGAATACTCTACACACATGTTAACATCAGAATACTCTACACACATGTTAACAGCAGAATACTCTACACACATGTTAACAGCAGAATACTCTACACACATGTTAACAGCAGAATACTCTACACACATGTTAACAGCAGAATACTCTACACACATGTTAACAGAAGATACATTAGACAGTATTAGTATACACATTATTAACATCTTAACATGAAAATTGTTGACAGCAGATGCATTTTAGCAGATGTGATGTTATTCAAATAGCAATTTGAGAAGAGAATATTAAGAGACACTGAAGTGGTAAATAAATTATAGCTTGATAGTAAAAATACATTTTCTTCTATTTCAGAATTGGTAAAGAATGAAGGGTACCAATTGTTTGAAGGTGACAGGGAACATGTTGACTACTTTAAAGCACTTCTAAATGATGGTGATCATTTACTTGTTGGTGGCAGGTATAGAACTATTTTTTTCTTGGATTACTTCTTTACTTCTTTGATTTATTTAATTTATATATGTATAATCATTAATAAGAGGTCATAACAGTATTTGCCAAAAAAAGGAACTTAACTTCTGCTTTGTTATTCTTTAGGGTAAAACAATGTTACTGATTTGATTTTTATCACAAAATGTATTTCTAACTTTGCATTTAGTATATTGTACTTGCATTATTTCAATCTTGTATTTTATTCTTTCAGGAATAATATGTACAACATCAGTATGTTAACTTTAAAAGCAGATTATAACAGAGTAAGTTGATATTTTATTTGAAAGATGTTCAAGTCCAACTTAAAGGAGACACATTGTAAAAAATACTTATCGAACATCAAGTCTAAATTTTACCTATCACTTCATTGTTGTCAATGTTTTTAAAAGTTGTAGCCAAACCTGAAATCTAAATTTTGCTTGTGCTTCTTTTTTGTATATTTATCATGAACTGTATAATTATGTGATGTCAGTTTTGAAATATATTGAACATGTAAATTTTAATCTTCTTCAGAAAATAGTATGGAAGCCTATCAGTGGTGATCAAACAGACTGCAAGAATCAGGTGGATGAAGCTTATAAAGTAAGTTTTGAAACTTGAGGTTCATTTAATGTCATTTGAGGTTATGATGTTTTTGTCATGGCACTCTCTTCTGTTTCACTTACATGTGGAGAAGTTGAGAAAGCATTGTTTGGGGGTATATTATACCTAGAAAAGCTAATTGACATTACATGACATAAGACTCTGGGTTCTTTGATATGAATAACAGAATACATGTACATAATTACTTTTGTAAGAAATCTTGTGTTAAGTGGAAGCTTATTGTGTATTTCTTTCTTTGAAAAGGAATATTAAAGAATAATTAAATTATTATACTATGACATGTGAAAAATTACCTCCACCTTGGTTGTGGTCAATGAAGGATTGTCATTATCTAGAAATGCTTACGGAAATTTGTTCAAGTGTCTGGAAGTAAAGACAATTGATGATTAATTAAAATATAGAAAAATGATTAAAATGCAGGAAGTTGGGAAAGGTTTCTTCATCTATTGTTAATGCGGCATGCATTAAACAGTTTGTATTGTTTCACACATGAAGATAAATTATGAAAGCCACATGGTCACCTGTTTCCATTGTTTAAAGCCTGCGGGGAGGAAAATAAATCTGTATGATGAATTAAAATGAGTAATATTATTAAGTAATTTCGAGTTTCATGAATGTAAGATTCAGTGGAATTTCTTCGTTTTAACTTCCACTTCCTCTTATGTCTATTATGTATTTGTTTCAATTTATCTTAAAATTTATCTTATAATGAATTGTTTGATAAAAGGGAAACTTCAAAATTTTATTATCAATTTCCCTTGAATCCAATTGTATATATTTACATGACTCACTCCATAATATTTTAAAGCAATAACATATCAAATTCTGTTTTATATTTTCATGGAAGTTGACTTTAATAAATAAATAATGATAGAATATGTCCGATATTTAAGAGATTTGATACATTTGTTTGACGTTTGATAGTTTATGATGTAACATCAATCGGGAAATGTCTCCCACGAGAAAACTGTGTGCATAAAAGCAACAAATAGTGTTAAATAATATCTGACAACATGATATCTTAATAATAAATATGACAGATATAGAAGTGTATATTTAAGGCAATTATTTGAGAAGTTTTCATCTTAGATAACAGGCAATTTTTCCTTGTTTTTAGCGGGTTAGGTTTTTTAAAGTAAATGGTGGGAGAATCATGGTCCTCACTCGACTTCACTCTGAGAAAAGTTATAACTTACCAGTCACACTGATTATACTGGTTATATTCGATAATAAAGTATTTTTATGTGGAAGGCCTAGATATGTGTTGAGAATAAAAAAAAATTCAGTATCATAGAAACCGATAATTATTTCATCGAATATGAGATAAGCTTTTTTTATGAAAAAATTTACCTCCCTAAAACTTACCTCCTTAAAACATAACTATGATATTTTGAAATGACTGTGTGAACAAAAAAAATAACTTTTTTAAGCAGCTATTAAAGAAACTTGAAATAGTTGCCTGTTTTTCCTACCATCTCCTACCATTCTTACTTACTGTTCCTGGTATTTTCTGATATCTTACATATATTGTATATTTTACCTAGAATTTGATAGGATTTAAAGTCAATATAGTCCAAAGCTTGGGTTACCAAGGCTTAAAAAGTTAATCATGATACTATATTCTAATAAAATTATTTGCATAAACAACTACTTTTTGTCTATGGAAAATCTTGAAACCTGTATTGTTTACAAACAATATGACTTGTTAAGTATGTCTTGTAAAGAAATAAAACCCCACAAGAAGTGTTTTCATGCATAAAATCTGTTTTTATTTTATGTATTTTGAAGTATAATAACAATAAAGACTTTGTTGAGGGTCTTATTCTTGTGCCGGGACTACTTTTACTGCAGTCTCATAATAACAACATGCAATGAAATATTAATGAGCATGGATATACTTATATAGGACACAACGCACCTGTTAATCTAGGTCGACACGTTTTTTAAGTACCATTCTCGACTTCATTTTCATATAATTTAGGGTTTAGAGATTTTATTATATTTTAATCTCTAAGACTCTAATAATCTGTTTTCATGAGAGACTATATCTCTATCAGAGATTGCATCAAAAGAGAGTTACAATACCTACTAGAGAGTAACTTTATCAGGTTTTATGTAATTATTTATTGCCAGCAATAAAAACCTGCTAAAACATGTCCTTAAATTATTTAAACTTGTAGACTGCACAGTTTTATTTCTTATTAACTATTTGAGTTAAAAGTAAATTTGAAATTTTCAGTTTCTTGCCCTGATTTGTATTTTTTGACAATGGGAAATGAGGGTGCTGGGTCATTGGTAACATGGAGATAGGGACACAGGATGGGTGTACTTGGATTGGGGGATGTGGGTATACCTGAATGGGGGATGTGGGTATACCTGAATGGGGGATGGAGGTAAGGGGATGTGATACGGATACCTGAGTACTGGGATGTGGATAGAGATGCTTCGATAAAGTGACCTAGATTGTGGGTACTTGGATGGGGAAAGTTTAATGCAGCGATGTGGGCACCTGAATGGGGCTGCTTGGATTGGGGGCCATTATGTTAAAGGTTTTAGCATTAAAATCCCTAGATTATAGTTTAGCAATTGTACTTCAATTCACTATAAATTAGTAGCTGTTTACATGGAAATAAAATAAACTATTTGGCTTTCAGGTGATATTGCTTTTAAATCTAATTTAAAATACACCTGTTCTAACACATCAAATATATTGTTATTTACTGCTGTTCAAAATCCTTAAACTTTGCAATGAACAAATCGAAACCTCAAATTGGTATACATTTCATCTCCATCACTTAAAGATATCAAAATCTTTAAATAATATCTAATCATTGAACTAGATCTTTTTGAAAATTCCAATACAAAGGGGGGTTTTAATTAAAGGACCATTGTTTTGAATGTGAATTAATACTGTTAAATATTGAAAGATTATCGCAAATGTTAGTCATAATATTTAACATCAAAGGTCAATTTATGAATAGACCTTTTATTTTTAGTTTTAACTGGTGAATGCATATCTTCTTAAGTAAATTTAAACTACCTGAAATTGATTTTTTAAATTGATTAAATCTTTAAATTTTAGAAATGTAATTGTGATATATTTCACATTTGAAGTAGTTTAATGGAAAATAATACAAGAGTTGAGGTTTTGATGACAAACATGTAGAACAAAAACGAGAAATCGTGTTCGCCCATTATAAAGTGCCTCTAGTGAAATGCTCTTTTCCCCTATACTTTCATAGCATCATCAGTAAAAAATCCAGTCATAGTCATCATATTGACAAGATGCATGACATGACCCTGTGTGCTTTTCGGACAAAGATGGCTGCTGTTAAATATACATTGAAAGCAATGTCACCTTACTCTAAACAAGTTTGAGCATGATGTTTGCTTGTAGCCTCAGTCGTTTGATTTCAGGGTATATTTGCCCTTAGGTGTCTTTGCACAATATTCTAACCGGAACAAGTTTTGTTAAACAAAAACAAACTCATTTCAATAGGTTATATAAAGTGTTCCCTATTGATCTAATTGTGCAGAAATCGTTTGTAAATAATTGGTCTGCACCACCATGAATTCTTCAAACAACACCTTAATTTTGTAAATAACCAGTATCAATAAATTGATTCCTGTTTACAATGCACAGCAAATGTTTCTTTAACTCGTAAAATGTAAAATAAATATTTTACAACTGATAAAGTCAAATAGTAATTAAGTTATAAAGCGCCAATTTCAATAATATTGTTTGCCGGCAAAGAAAAAAATTGAGCGGGAGTTGATTGTTATTACATGATGAAAGGAATCAATTAATTAGGAATTTTTTTTGTGCACTTTAAACACTGTAAAGGGAGAATAATGATGGCTATTTGTGAAGAATCTCCATCAGATTTTTATTTTTCGACATTGAGACTCCAAATATTTGTCGGTTATTTAATTTTAGACTCATCCTAAGGGCTTGATAGGAAAGGGACAGATATAATAGCAATATCCAGGAACTAAATCAGCGAAGTTTCAGTAATGTTCCATTTTTTTCCCTTGGCCATTATTTTATCTTAATATCGGCTCAATGTTTAAATATAATATCTTTTCTGCAATTTCTGAAAAATATGATCAGGCAAAAATGCCTCGTTACTCAAAATTTGGAGAGCCAATATTGACAGAGTTAATGAAAAATGCAAATTTGGTGCCGCTACCAGGTTTTCATGGTGTAGAGATAAATGGCATTCTTCTGTTGCGTTATTATATGACTCATTGCTCCCCAGTTTTTATGCAGTAAAAAAAGATATATGGGGCGCTTAAACAAAGTTCCCAAGAATAAGACGAAATTTCGATGTAAAAATATTTATTGAGACAAATTACCATTTAAAGATAAAAATTTACCAGATTTTATGATAGAAGGACAGAAGTGAAGGTTCCATTGTTATCCACAAATTTTATCAGTCTTTAAATGATTAAATTTTGATTTTTGTCCCAATTTTTTTAGTGTTGATTTTAGGAATGGTAACTTTATATGGTGTTCAGGTCTTTCAATTCAGAACTTCTGTTTCTACTTTAACTTTGATGTTTTGTTAAGAGAATGTCCAGCAACAGTCAGATCTTCGTAATAAGCTGAAAGTCAGTTTTAGAGATGTGGCATAAATCGCTTCATTCCTGACTAGAATATTAATTAAGCACACCCAAAAGCCAATCAATTCAAGCGCACCCAAATCAGATCAATTTTAAAGTACTTGCAACTAGAGGAATGTGCTGTCATCAACAAAAGGGAGAAGTTTAACAAGATTATTTCCTGTCTTTGATTCTCTGTGTCCTCACGGCATTTATGCTTTATCGATGACAAGATGGAATGTATTGGAATTCTGGCCGTTCCTTCATTATATGAGCTAATATGTTTTTCTCGGCTGTCAGGCAGCGTGGATGTTTGATGTTAAGATGCATTGTCTTAGCTGATCAATGAATATTTTGTTGTCGCCACATTAAGTGAAATGGTCATGATCGTCAATATACAGCAATTGCGAAAGTTGTCACTACTCTGTCTTTATCAGTTAGCTCACTCAGAATCAAACTTCTCTTTCTTCTTGCCAAACAAATTTACTTAACAATCTGAATTTCCATGAATATAATTGTGGAAGTTTCATCTTAACAGTGTGCATTTGTTTTAGATATTTGCCTGGAAACAAAAACTGTCTACAAAATAAAACATATTCTCATTATATCCTGACAGTATACTGGTACTCCTCAAAATAAACAAATAGATTAATTTAGCCAGTTTATCACTTGTCATTGGGAGTTATCATATTTTATACGATTTTTATTGTATTGTGAATTTTATTTAGAAATTACAATGAAATTAACAGTTTACACTGAACTATGTATAGTTTTGAATTTTAGGGCTTGTATAAGATTGTAAACACTTGAAGGTCAGTAAACTTATTCCTGTTGATAAATGTTTTCAAAATATTCAAGAGAAAATGTTGATTATGTTTGAATGCTGAAAGTTTTTTGACCTACTCAAAATTATATTACTGTATGGAAATTATGCTTTATCATTTTTCAGAAATATAAGATACTGTTTACCACCTGTTGGTATAAGTTTTGTTAAGATGTTGCCCACCTCACATGTCAGTTGTCAGAATAATCCCTGCTATATCTACATGGATGATTGTATAAAATGAATGATGAGAAAGCCTAAATGGCTTATCAAGAAATCTTATAACAATTGTGTTGCCAAGATGTATTCATTTTCAATGAAGCAAAACATCATAATATATCAGTATCAGAACCAAAAGTTTGGTTTTGTTAGTAAATGATAAATACTTCCTGTAAATTCAAATAGTAGACTGTCTAAAAATATTGGAGTTTATAGACCAAATGAAGGTTGTGATAATTCTATGAACGTGAGAGTTGAATTATTTTGGGAAGCTTTTCCATCTTTTAGATGTTTTTTTCCCTTGTTTGAAATCTGTTTAAAGCATATTTTGTTGATTTAGGACAAATGTTTGGATCAATTACACACTGACACAACTGAATGCACCTGCTTTGATGAATTACCACAAGGCTTGCGTTGTTTCTTTTTGGAAAGACATCAATAATTAATGTCATCCAATAATTGGAAACTTGGTTTATCCATGCCATCGACCTAATTTTTCTGATCCAATAAGTAACTTAGTTGTCAGGTTGATATATAGATTAGTTCTGTGATCTTGTCTTGGAGAATGAATTTATCTTCACCAAAATCTTTATGTAGTCTACAACGATATTCTGTGCTATATATCACAAGTAATAGACCGTTCCATATCATATAGACCATAACAATATTTTCTTGGAATGAAACGCAAATATTAGACACTGTCAATCATATAAAAGTGAGGGAAGGATAAAGATAGCCAATGTAATGTCAGCAGATATTGCATGTGTCTGCTATTACTCAACTATTATCAATTTAGGTGTAAGAAAATCAATGCCTGATGTTGCCAGAAATTGTCTACAATGCACATTTTATTAATTAAGAAAAAAAGCATCACTTAACTTTTTGACATTGAATGAGAATAATAGAGATCTTCTCTCTTTTGGAAAAAGAAAAAAAAAACATTCATGTTATAGTATGATAAAGTAGGAAGCTAAGCGTTAGCATTTAGTGAACAGTATGGAAAATTCAAATGTGAAAATAAACTTGAAATTTTCACACAGATTTATGATGTCAACAAGATTTATGTTTTGTGATAAGATTTTTAAGATTCTTGTTTAAGTATACTTTAAGTATACTTTTATTGGAAGATGAAAATATAGGGCATCTTTTAACACAGAACTGAAGTAAAATACAACATATAAAAGAGCTTTTCAAGAGCTCTCTCGGCATTTTGAGAGCTTTAATATAGCAAAGTGTCTCTGTAATATTGAGGTCCTCTTCAGTTGTTTGATATATTTCACTCAATTTCAATTTTGTTTAAATCTTATCTAATTCATGGTACCTAAGATAAGTGTGACTTATTCCCAGAACTGTCTAGAAATGTTTGAAATGAACAAGATGTGCACAATTCTTTTAAATTGTTTTTAGATGTTCATCCAGTGTCTTGATAGATTTGTACAAAGATGCCAGTAGTTTGATCAAGTTGAAACACTCTTTTTTATAAAAATTCAAAATATTTATGCCAATTTTAGCTTTTTCTTTAAAATTAATAAAGACTATCACAACCGAACATTGTTTGATTAAATCACCAATTCACTTGTCTTATAAAATTGTGCTTATTTCTGTAATATTTATACAAATTGACTATGTAGATCATTATAAACATTTCTTGTTGTATTTTTACTGCATGTAAAGTGTCTTTGTATGATAAAGGTTTGTTGAGAAATTCATAAAATTCACAAAAGAACAAATGTTTCTTTTACAAATTGAAAATTACAACATTAATGCTTCATTTCATGTCAAGAATTTTTTGTATTTTTTCAGAGCAAATGTCAGAACTATATTCAAGTACTGGGCAAGATGGATGATGGCAAGTTGTTTGTCTGTGGTACAAACGCTTTAAAACCAACATGCAAAACCTATGAGTATAAAGAAGAAAACCTTCCTGTAAGTATCAGGCATGAGCCAAGATAAAACAGAAACATTTGCCTGTTAAATAGGTTTGGGGCCTACAGCTTCTTCAATTAACCTCTGGTTTAAAAGTTTGATTATGGTATCTTTTAACATGGTATTTAAGGGTAAATGGGTAAAAATTATCCTTTGTTTCTAACAGCCTTTTAGTATTTAAAAAAAACCAACTGGTACATGCAAAACTAATGATGTTAGTTAACCTTCATCTTTAGTTTAAATAGTTAAGGGTCATACATATGTATACCGGCTTTTGGAGATTTCAAAATTACAAAACATCTGTAAAATAAAAAGCACTCATGAAGAAAATGGTACCCTACATAAACAGTAGGAAAAAAATAAAGCCATTTGGACTTAAGCCAAAACTTTGGGGATTATTTTGACATTTAGCCTTGATTTAATTCAATTTCTTGTAAAATGATATTGAAAATAAGGTCTTTTATAAAGGTATATTTCATAAGATGTTTAAGGGTATTGTGTAAGATTTATCTGTTCATTTGACATACGTAAAAAAGCAATGGTGTCAAGTTATAGCGTAATGGTCGCATATTGTGGAGTATAATTGGTTATACCTGGTACTTTTAAAACATATCATTCAATGATTTTATTTTAATAAATTAAGTATCACAAGATTAACTGTAACTTTATTATTAAAGAAAATTAAAAAAGGCTTTTGAAAGAAGCTCTTCAAAAGAAGATGAAAAACTCTTCATAAAAGGAGGTAAAATTACCATGCATAGGTTAATTTTGTTCTCTTTAATGAAGAGTTAAGTTATCAAGGCAAAATTTACATTTTTATAGGAAAAGTCTACAGAGGTAATACAAAATCAAATGCATCTTGCAAGTTTCTATAATGCTTGAATGTTTATATTATTAATCTGTCTTCAACAAGATTTTTTGTAAGCTTCTGTGTTACTTTTGTTGTTAATTTTTTTTTCAAAGATACTTTACCAGCTCTTCTGGCAATTGTCAATAGTAATATCACTTGACAACCAGATACTAATGAGAACAATTATTTACAAACATTATTAAATTATTCACAAATATATAATTATTATTAGCCATGTACATTATTTCATAGGGTTATAAAATGTAGAATACTAATAGAAAAAAACAGCCAATGTTTTTCTTAGATAAGATTTAAATACTTATTCATCATTTTTCAAAGTACTTTTAGTAATATTTTGAAAATTTACAGCACAGTTGAACAAAAATGGCATTATGCATCTAGTGAGCTTTTAGAGCATTATGAAAGCATCTAGTGAGATTTTTAAACAATATATTGTTATTGACATTCCCAAAGAATAGAATAATTAATAATAAATGTTTATATACTCTTGTTTTGTTTTTGTACTAACAGGCATGTGCAGTTTTATATTGCCGTGAAATTCATGCAAAATGTTTGGATGTTTTAGTTTTTACAGCAATTTTGATGTTTTGGTTGATAGCAACTAACAAAATTTAATGTTTTTTTTTCTTATTTCATAATCATATTAATAAAATCTTGCCTATATTCAGGATTATAAACATTAAATATAAATCTAACCTTTAAAACAAAATGTCATACCATTTGCCATGATGACAATCTATATTACATGTACACTGGAACTATTGAAAATGGTATAATACTGTGCACATAGAACAAGAATTTGATTTTTTTCAGTAGTATTATAGTATTAATTTGTGACTCCTGTGAAATAAATTGCAGTTAAAAAGAAATGAAAGACCTTGGTTCAAATACGTTAATCATTTGTATCTCAGGCCAGCAAGACAAGAACATGATGGCGAAGAAAATTTTCTAATTATCCCTACACATGTCTATGTCTCATTTGCTGTAATTGATTTTACTTGATCAGACAATCTTGCTATTGATTGTATTTGTGCATCTTGCATGTTTGTTTTTGGAACTTCCTGCACGTAAATTTAATGAACCTTTGTAGACAGAACATTTCTTTCTCTCTCTCAGTGTTTTAACAAGGATAACTATAGTTTTGCATCTTGTTCTGTGGGGAAAGTCTTTGAAGGTGATTAGGAAGCAAGTAAGTTTGTTAACGAGCCCATTGATCACTAGTTGTGACGACACTGTGACGGAAATCACAATTCCAGTGAATGGGAGAAACAGTCCTGTCATATTGATTATTAATCACTGTGAACAAAAATTTATGTTGAGTTCATTCAGACAAAAAGTCTTTGTATATTTTGGAAAAGATTTCCAGAAAATTTAAAGGAAATTGTTAACATTGAAAATGTTGTAATTTGATTTAGCCTGACAGCAGTATGACTGCTCACACTGAAAAAACATGTCTCCGAGAACTGAAGATCTCTAGGACACTTTAATTATGGGCAAGAGCCATTACAGAGTTATATTACTTGTTCTTGAATGCTTTCTGGGGAGAAAGTGATAATCTTTTATTGGTAAAAATGTCACAAATCTTATTATGTTTACTGTGGAAGGCTATTCAAACTGACTTTGAATGCTATTTTAAATGAATACATAATGGTTTCCAAAATGGGCATAAATATTTTATTTGTTTTATTTTTCTTTTTGTTGTTGCAGATGCAAGTTGCTGAATATTATTCTGACAGTGAGGAGCAGGGACGTGGGAAGGCTCCATTTGATCCGGAACATAACAGTACAGCTATATACACTGGTAAGTTAAACATGTCAGTTACAGGCGGAAAAAAATGGAGAGCAGTTTGAAAAAATAGGGAAGATAATCCTTGTATCATAAAAAATTCATAGAAATAATATGAAGATGAAATTTAAATTCTAGGAATCTAATTTGTTTTAGTGCCCATCATAAGACATTATTACTTAAATTACAAGAAAATGAAACTGCAATAAGATATACCCTTTGATGTAACTTGAAAGGAAGATTATTGAGGGAAAGTATTAATTACTAAACCTTTTCCTAAAAAAAAAGAATTTTGGCATCACTTGAAGTTCTGAAAGCTGTAATTTAGTAACAATTATAAAATTTCCTGCCAGGAAACAGTTTTTCAAGAATAAAAAAAACATCTTTAGGTTTTATTTACTGGTGTCAACAATGGCTTAATTCCTCAACACTTAGAATGACAATATCTGGAAGTAAACCCATCCTATTCTGACAAGATATGAGTCTTCAATAGCTGCTAAAAGAATATAAATGGTGCAAGGCAACACTGCGTAACTCAATGACCATAAAGAACAGGTTATGTCAGTATGGCAATAAACTGGTTATATTTTATGATGAGCTGACAACTTCTCAGTGACAATAATTCCTCAATGGTATTCCCCCAATATATAGATTGTTATCGAGACACACTTTAGTGTAATGACCATTTCTTCATTATCTATCATTGTTGCTCATTTGCCTCTATGATTATAATAATGATAGTAATATATTCATAAGTGTTTATTTAGTGTTAATGGAATGATAAGGTGATTTTCTGTCTGAATGGTCAAGCAACACAAGATCAAAAGCTCATTTTCATAATCAATGTCATCTTCCATCATCTTCCATATAAATTGACCAATTTGTTATACAGTAAGTTAAGTGCGACCTCCTGTCATTTTCATTTAGCAGACGACAATTTATGCCTTCTGGCAACACTGTTTGATGTACAACAATTTTTTTTATGTCAAAACAAATTTCATGTTAGGGTTGTCAATAATTTCATAATTATAGTCTAAATAATCTGATCAATCACTTTTGTGGTACACTTTGATGCCCAACAGGCAGAAATCAGCCACAAGAACAATAAATGAGCAACAATGAGCAAGAATAAGAGGCAAGTGATCCATTGATTTATCTGTCATTTTGCTTGAAAGTTAATTCAAATGCACTGTCAGAACTTTTAATACATAATCATTACTGGGAATTGTAATTCTCATGATGGGTTAAAATAATGCCTGCACCTAGTATGATATGTCAATAAATGTTGCAGAAGAACAACAGAAAAATGATCAGAGATAAGATTAATGACAACTAAATGGTACTATATGACACTTTAAACTCATAAATTGAGATTTTATGTCAGCAATGTTTGTTTATCATATAATTAGATGTTGTTTTGGTAAATGCACTTCAATTTCAAACTGCTTCATTTTAAATTTAATTTCATCAACAAATTTATTATTGCTTACTTTCATTGTAAATAAGGCAGAGAAGAAATATGGCATAAAATCTCAAGTGGGATGAATGCAAAGCATATGCAATGATTGATTGCAACATTAAAGAAGTATTTGCTAAATGTGCCAAGAACATGTTGTAATAGATGAGAAGAAAATGTTATGCAAATTACAAGTTGTAACTTTTATTTTTGGCCTGCATTCATTCATAAATTGAGAGGAAATGCTTCCGCTTGAATGTTTTAATTGGATTCTAATTGCACTACAAAGCTTTTATGTAAATATCTAAGGAGAACCATTAAGAGATAAAAACAAAAACTAGAGACTCGGCAGTTAATAAGGCTTCCTTCCTTAAGTGGAATACTGTAAACTGTTTAAGTGATGTTGTGAAAATAGTTCTGATAATTTGTTGTTGGTAATTTTTCTGATAATTTCTCCAATTATTTTGATATTCTTGATAATTGACCGTGTGTTACCTGTTCTATCAGATTTTTCAAGAACTGATTGTTTTAGGGTAATTTTGTTAACCTAAATTAGTTTTAATATTCTTCATAAATAATACTGGCCACTGATTGGCTGATTTAAATTTAAATAAACCAATGGTGGATTTGCTTTGTTTGGTAGATATCCCACATGTAGTATCTCCTTCACAGAAAATGTACTTATTAAGAATTGAAATTTTGATTTGTTTAAGTATTGAGAATTCAGGAAAATTATTTAAGTGTGAAGTAGCAGGGACATAACTCATTGTTTAACGGGGTTACTCTTACCTATCAACAAGTTTGTATGACAATGACCTTTTTCTCCTTTATAATTAAAGAGTAGTCTATTTATTCTCCTGTTGAATTAAGAGTTGACTGATTTTTCTCATCAATGTGAAGAGTTGACTGCTTCATAATGAAGTGGGTGTTAACCAGACTGACAGTTGACATGACTTTTTGATACTAGGTTGTCATTTTTGTCTAGGAGAGCTGTCCTCCATTTTTACATGTCAATGATCAGTTGTACAATCAAACAGTCATCTTCTATTGCCCTCATGATTGGCAATGTTTTAATTAACATAAGAAACAACAGATTTTCATATCATATGAAAATGATGATGAAATGAATTTTAGAAGTTCTTAAAACTTGATTATGTGAAAAAAATCTTTATGAATCTTATAGGTCACTGAAATACAGGGTGATCTATATGTTCTCTAGTGTAATAAAAATGCCCTGCAGATTTACATTTTACAATGAAACTGAAACTTTGCTCACTAAGATATTAAACATTTTTGCATTTTGTTTTCACAAAGCAATTGCCAAAGGCCTGATTTTCTATCTTGTTGACATTGAAAACATCATACCATTGTTTGACATACTGTATGCTAAATCTGATGTCAAAATAATAAAAACAATTAATTTTTATATCCCTCCCATTCCTTTGCTTGAAATAATAAAAAAGAGAATGAATTTCACTATAGGAAAGTTTTGTTTTTACTAGATTAAATGTTTTGTGTGTCATCAAATCAAAATGATCATGTATTTTTAATGGGAATTGGGAATGTCCAGAAATCAACCAAAGGTATATCTGGGGTCATTTCAGATTCCTCCATCTATGTGTTTATTATTACTATAAATTATCTTTAATGACCTGCAATTAGAAATGTAACATGCAGTTACAGGTGAGACGTCTTTAATGAGTGCATTTATTTTTAATGAGGGTCATCATTCTGATATAAAGGTCATATTATAAAATATGATATGAAGTTAGGATGATAGATATTAGCAAACATGTTGTAATTCTACATATATATGTCAACATTTATAAAACGAGTACATGCCAGCAGGAAATGATTGTAGCCAAGTGTTAACATGATAATACTGCTTGGTTGAAATTAAGAAATACCGAATCAAAGTAAAAACTAAGATTACTGTTTCCTGTAGGAAATGTTTTTGTTTTTATAAACTTACTTATTTACATATAGGTATTCATATGTAGCTGAGGCCCCTTGGAAGATTGGGGAAACCAAATGTGTTAGCATCATTAAACAAAGTTGTTACTTACTTACTAGTATATTATAGTCAACTGTTGTGATTTAAAAACTTCAGCAATAAGTTTGTATAGAAAAAATAACAAAAAATGTTTCAATGAATTGCAGACATTACTCTAATACTATAAAGTGTAAATAAAAAGGCAAATATTAAATCCTCAAGTGACCGCTAAAGTATCTTAATATAATGCCATGAAAGGTCATTTAGGGAACAGATTCTTAATTTACTAACAAGATACGCAAGTTTTCTATTTTTGTGATCAGAGTCTTCTGTTATTTTGATATTTCTCTGTGTGGGAAACTCTAACTTGTGAAGAAACCTGAAAACTAATAGCAAGCATTATCAGGTATTGATGTTATTAATTTGTGACGTCTGCTGCAGTTAGCAGATGACTATTGCATTATGTAAGCTAATGATGTAATTTTCTGTAATATATTACACACAGTGATAGACTTTATATGTAATTTTCTATATAGGGTGATAGACATTTAGAAAATTATAGGTAAATGTAGCTTCTTGCTTTGTCAGCCATATTTACATTATATTTGAAGAGATAGATATTTGTATTTGCCTTTTTGGTCTTCTTTTGTTCTTTTCATTTATCAGTGGCCTTGAGGAAAATTTTCATGAAACTTTAGGGAGACATATTTTATAAGAGAAGAAGTTATTCCCTTGTTTATATAATTATAATGTCTTTGATTTTTCGTTTTCTCAGAATGGTTTTAGCATCAGGAAATACCTTTGAAAACTGCATCAAAAGATGAATAGCCTGGAATAATGAATATTTCATATCAATGATATTTAGAAATGTGGGTTTCATATTTAAAAGTCTTTAATACATTTTGATAGCTATAAAATCTTTCTGGCAAGTCGGCTTCTGTAATAAGGGAAAAAAATTTTTATGCCCCCGCCATGTAATGGCCGGGGCATATAGTGTTACCCTGTTCCGTCATTCCGTCCTTCCGTCCTTCCGTCCTTCCATCCTTCCGTCCTTCCGTCCTTCCGTCATTCTGTCATTCCGTCATCATCAGTTTCCGTTCATTATCTTAAGAACGGTTAGGCACATTCAACTCAAATTTGACACATGGATATGTCATGAGAAAATACAGGTCAAGTTCGAATTTGGTCATGGTTCGATGATTTTTGGCAGAGTTATGCCCCTTTTACTTTGAAAATAATATGAAATTTCAGTTTCCGTTCATTATCTCAAGAACGGTTGGACACATTCAACTCAAACTTGACATATGGATATGTTATGAGAAAATACAGGTCAAGTTCGAATTTGGTTATGGTTCGATGATTTTTGGCAGAGTTATGCCCCTTTTACTTTGAAAATAATATGAAATTTTCAGTTTCCGTTCATTATCTCCCCAACGGTACAACACATTCAACTCAAACTTGACATATTGATGCGTCAAAGGAATGCGCAGGTCAAGTTCAAATTTGGTCGTGGTTCGATGATTTTTGGTAGAGTTATGCCCCTTTTACTTTGAAAATAATATGAAATTTTCAGTTTCCGTTCATTATCTCCCTCAAGGTACAACACATTCAACTCAAACGTGACATATGGATGCGTCAATGGAATGCCCAGGTCAAGTTCAAATTTGGTCATGGTTCAATGATTTTTGGCAGAGTTATGCCCCTTTCACTTTGAAAGTAATATGAAATTTTCAGTTTCCGTTTATTATCTCCCCAATGGTACAACACATTCAACTCAAATTTGACATATGGATATGTTTTTGGAATGCCCAGGCCAAGTTCGAATTTGGTCATGGTTCAATGATTTTTGGCAGAGTTATGCCCCTTTCACTTTGGAAATAATATGAAATTTACAGTTTCTGTTCATTATCTACCTAACAGTGTTACATTTAATTTTAATTTGACATATGGATATGTCAAAGGAATGGGCAGGTCAAGTTGGAATTTGGTCAGGGTTTGATGTTTTTTTGGCAGAGTTATGTTCCTTTCACTTTGAAAATAATATAGATGCATCTTAGGAATAAGCAGTTTAAGTTTGAATTTGGTCGTGGTTCAATGATTTTAGACAAACTTACCTTTCCTGATTGTTGGAAAAATTTTGAACTTTCAGTTTCAGCACTCATTCTTTTAGCCATTACTTTGGCTGCAAATATGCAATATGCTTTTTCTAAAGGTTAAGACTGAATAATTTCAGTGCCTTGAAGGTTGTATGGAAATGGTTTGTGTTAACATTGAAAAGTTTTAAGGGCTTTGAACTTAAAATGAAAAAAAAAAATTAATGCACCATCTGAAATTTTGGCTGCATGCGGGGGCATCCGTGGCATGATGACACATTTCTAGTTTTTCCCTATTTAAATAACACTTACTTACTCACTTTAAAATAAAATCAAGTGATGATTGTTTTTTATAGCTAGGGGAGATAATTTTAGATACAGATAGGAGATAATCACCTCCTTTTTGAAGAGCTTTATCAAAATGTTAGGTGCCCCTGGGGCCTTGAATTTTTCTTTTGATTTGATGGAGTGAAGATATGACCAAAGTTAAAAAAATGATTGATGTAGTAAGCCTTGTGTTTATACACACATGAAATCTCCATCAAACTTCTACATCAGTGACCAGCTGGGCTTTAATGATGAGTTGATGATTAAAATAGTGATAAATTACCTTCTTGATGTCTTACAAGGTCAACAATACTACTCTTGTTTAACTTTTATTTAGTGCTCAAATTTTCATTGAAAAAGCATTTTGTTTATCTATTATGTTTTATTATGAATTTTGTTTAAAAGTTACAAATTATCCCCTATGTGAACCTGTCACTTGGTCTTTAGTAATGCAATATGTACCATAGATGTTATAAAGTGGTCAACTATAAGAGGGAACATAATCATGCCAAAAAATACAACAACAAATGGAACAAAGAACTGTGAAAACAAGATTTTGTAGTATAATAATGACTTTTTGATATATGAGGTGACATAGTTAAGTATGATATATTGTTGTCTATATGGCATAATTATAAATGACTATTTATTTGATATATGGTATAAATTGGTCAGTTTCTCATGTTACAAAATGGAAAAATGCCCAGATAGGGACCATCGCTGACAATTTGTTGACCCCAATTTAGTAGAATTAAGTTACAATTGAGAATAATTTAGTTTCCGATTTCCCCAAATTATCTGACTTTATTTATGTCTGAAGGGTACAGGTTGTGAGAAACCTAATCGGGATTGATTAATGAAATTGCTGTAAATGCCAAATAGACTGGATAAAGAGCTTGTCTACTATTTGATTGTCAGTCTATATATTGCTAATTTGGTCAATTTAGGATTAAAACGAGGTCTTTCTTATTATCTAGAGACTGTTAAACTTGCTCTTACTAAGCCGATTGATACAGATCTGTCCGTCACATAATTATTCTGTTCGTGTGAATAAAAGGCTTGGACAGTTTGCGAGACATATATTTTAGGACAAATTGATTATTCTGAAATTGATTAGAGGAAATTACCTGCACACAATTTGTAAAAGTTATAGTTTAAAGCAGAAGAAAAAGAGTATAAATATTATAAAAATGGTGGGTTTTTTAATCTGTATTCAATCAGGATGAAATAAGAAGCTTTCCAGCTCAATGATCTACAGTTTAATTAATATTACAATATCAAGGTTTAGATTAGAATCTTTTTGGCACTGCATTATTGTTATAATAAATCATCTATCTCCTCTTCGTAATACCTCTTTGTTATGTTATGTATACATGTACACAAAAATATAGTATATTTTTAACCCTAAACCTTCATAAATGGACTTGTCCAGCTTCCTTTTTGGACTGCATGGAAGTGCAGGCTGGCCTTGATATAAACTGGTAGCAAAGGCTAATCACTTTCAGTTTCTGGAGGATTATGTTTAGACAAAACTATTTCTTCAAAATTATTTTAATGTTTCTAAAATTATTTGGAACAGTAAACATAGACATTGAAGAAAGGGAGAAGGGACAGCCAAATGATATGTTTTTTGTTAAAAGACATAAAACACACTACACATGTATTATAACAAATAAACTGGCAAAAGAGATTTTAGTGAAAGATATATTGAAGTATAGTGGGTAGTAAATTAAAGGTTTTTATTTGAAGTGACGGGTTAAACGATACAGACTTAGTGTCTCGAGACCTATTGTAGCCAGACAAGTGGGTTCTTTACTCATTGTCCGTCCCCTGTAGACAATCAGATTTACTCTAGTTAGACAATCTTAGCTTTTATCCCCAGGGATTCAGGATTAAATGGTTGAAAAAATAACTGTTCATAATAAATTATAATTGTATTACTGCCATGACAGGTTAACCACTGTGAATGACTTATTTCACTGTTTGCAGAGTAAGTGAGTTTAATTGATTGTAAAGATTAAGTAAATTAATTGAGATATGGAGGCAGATGTCTGAATGTCATAAAAATTGGGTGATTAAAGTGGTCAGTATACCCACTGTCCTTTGCACAAATTCAATTCACAGTCTTATTTGATAATGAACAGTACATCCATTTATTTTGAAAGTGCTGAATTTTCCAATTTCACAGTATTTGCTGAATAATGACATGACCTGGCACCTTTACTGTCAATAACACTTTTTAAAAAAAACTTTGTAATGATATATTTCAATGATCATACTATATACCAGTATGTCTACCAATGTATTAATGTATCATGATGTTGTTTCAGGAGGAAAGTTGTACTCGGCAACAGTATCAGATTCGCAAGCACGTGATCCCCTTATCTTGATGAGCGACCACGAGATTGTTGGACTGAGAACCAAACAACATCAGTCTAACATGCTTAGCAGTAAGTGGTGCTTTTCCTTTCTATTTTTCAAACTTCGTAAAATATTGTAAGGAACTTATGTACCAATAGAACAACAACGCCTGTCCAGCAGTAAGTGTTTCTTTTCTGTTCCATTTTCTCAAACTTTGTAAGATATTATAGAGACCTTATGGTCCATTACAACAAGAAGGCCTTTCCATAACTGTTAATAATGAAGTCTGCTCCAAAAGATTTAGTCTGCTCCTAAAGATTTATTATCTTTATAAACCATAGTACATACTTTTTGAAAGGTAATTTTTGTTTCCATCAAAATGTAGCCTGTGCCAACATCTTCAACTTATTCATGTGACATTGTCACTTTGAGATCATCTTCATTCAAAAAGATTGTCATAATACATACAAAAACTTTTTCTTATTTGACCTTGTATCATCTTATTTAATGACGAAACATGAGTTAGAAAAAAAGCATTTTGACAAAAGATTTCCTGTTATGTTCTTATACTGAGTTTAATACATGGGAAAATAAGCTATTTTTGTCTAATAATAGTCACGATCTAGATCTGGTTTGTACAATGTTCAGTAAACTGTTTGATTAAATTGCTTAAATCCAATTATTTTTCTAGAATATGTTTCGTATACACTCATGAGCCTTCAGTGAAATAGAAAGAAAAAAATAAGTCTAGGAATTCCATGTTGTTGTAAAATGAAAACTTGATCAAATTGTAGACAAAATATATAATAAGGCATGAACCTATATGACAGAAATTTGTCATCTGCCATAAACTGTACCCACCATGACATTTCAAATTGTGGGTGAAAGTCGATAGTTTTCATTATCTTTATGTAAGTGATATAGGGTTTTAAAACAGACGCTTAAAGAGAGCTTCACGTTTTATTTTTGACAGGCTATAAAAGGACACACTAACATCCAAAAACAGATTCTGTTTTCTAAAAAAAGACAACACCTCTTCATCTAAGGATGGACAATATTCCCTGTTTATTTTTGAAATTCATGCACTTTGTGTCAGTTTTTCAGACTTAAATAGATGTATTTTTGTGCCCTTAAGAAAATCAGTAGAAGATTTCCTCCCACATGTGCAATATTCTGGTAAATTTAAGACACTCTACATAATTTATTGGGAGAAGCTTGTGAAATATTAGTTGTGATAATATATTATACATCATATAATATTCAATATAGAAATATGGCTATTTATGATTCAGCACAATTTTAGATTAGATATTTTCATAATTTTGTGAACTTCCCATTTGTTATATATTGCGCAATAGTGTCGCACACTGTGATTGGTATGTAAGTTATACAGACATTGGATACAGTACAATATCATAATAAAAATAAACAGTTTCAAAAACCACTGGAGCATGTAACCATTTTAACACATCAACAAAATATATAAGAATCTTCCCCCACACCTGCTACAACTTCCCCTAGGGATGATCTAGTTGACCTAAAAATCGGGTCAGCTTTATGATATGTTACCAATATGGTCGTGAATTATAATTTACAATTCTCATTTTCTCTTTATTTCAGATCCTCATTTTGTTAGTGCATTTGATGTAGATGATAAGGTGTACTTCTTATTTAGAGAAAATGCTGTTGAAAACATAAATTGTGGAAAGGTATGTATAAATCACAATCATCGTATGCATATAATCCGATTTGATGAATCTGTTTTCCCTATTAAATTATCTAAAATGTCTTTTTAAAATGTTTTTCACATTTTTTGGTTTTGATGAATTGGCCCAGAAATATTTCTTTCAAAGATAGACAAACATCAACACAATTGATGAGCTATGATTGGGTACTTTTTGAAGCGAGCTAAAATATGAAAATTGACTTGGTAGTATGTACAAGTAATAGACTGCTCAACAGATTTATCTTATAAAGAAGACAGACATTTTATTTCAATCAAATAAGGCTGATAAAATAACAGCATAATACAAAATAACAGTGTTCATGTTGATATACATTCATACCAATCATCACATGACAATTGTTTCCGTGACCAAGTTGTTAAGGTTGTTGACTTCAAACCACTTGCCCCTCACTGCTTCTGGTTTGAATCCTGACAGGAACTTTGGATTCTTTCATGTGAGGAAGCTATCCAGGTAGCTAACAAAATGTCTGTGCCCGTTCGTGTCTGAAATAACGCACAGAAGGGCACCTGAGGTCTTCCTCCTAGAGTACAGCTGGAAAGACACCATATGACATATGCAGTGTTCCCAACCAAAGAAAAATAAAGATTTCTTAAAGCTCACATGACTGAGGTTTTCATTAAGAAGAAGTCTCACATTTCATGTATAAATTTGATTAATAAGAAGACTATAAAACCACAGATCTCATTTACATAAATTACGTATTATCCATATCAGTTATGAATGTATGACATGTTTTGTTTAAGATTATATTTTTTCATATTTCGCGGTTGACCATATCATTGAAATTTCTAAAGAGAACTTGAAAATAAAATAAAAGAAACTTTGGTGTAAATTTATGCATATTTTGATAAAATGTTGTTTTGTAAAGGATGAGCAGGGTTTACTTGCGTCTGACACGTTAAATTCTGATTTTTGTTGATAAAATTATATTCAGTATCATCCCGTTTATAATCAAAGATCTTTTAAAATGTATTATGCAAATTAAGGTATGTCATTTTGAAATTTTGCGTAATGCATTCAGATATTGCCTTAAGAAATATATACACAAGTTCATTACATGTATTTATATGTAATGAAAGTTGATATTCCTCTACAAATACAGTTCAATATGTTTATAGTGTAATTGTGTATAATCGTTAAAGGTGTTTATACTTTAAGTATTCTCAAATAATAATCTTAAGTTAAAAGTCTTTTTATTATTCTAATTGCAAAAAGATATCTATTAGTCTATATGTTTAAACTAGTACAGTTTAAACAGAATGGCCATAAAAGATTAATAATTTTGGTGTCTGCTAACTTATATAAAGGTGGTTTGAAGTAGCACAAATTTGTTAACCATTGTAACCACCAATGGTCATTTATCAGAAAGTGCTTGGATAGTTAGTCAAATCAGTCTGTCATCTAAAATTAGTTATTCAATTTCAAAAGTTGTTATTCAGAGGTGGTCTTCTAATACAATGTTTACTGTAAACAAATGGGCTTTCAAGCTGATAAGACTTTTGGAAATTACTTGTACAGATGAGGTTTTTCTAATAAAAATAGATTATCATTTTCTGGTAAAAGATTAGATTATCTTATGATAGAAAATGCAGAAAATAAAACATACTTTGTTGAAAGGATTTGTTACGATACAGATACAGTTTATGATAAGGTATCAGTTGTAGACAGTTAGAATATAGTACAGGGAATTTCTATTTCTTACACAATTATCTTTCCATACTGAAGATTACCTGATTTTTGTAACAGTACAGACAAACCTGTGTTTTCAAACATCCCTTTTTCCAGAGTCTAGTTATTTTTCAAATGAGGTCGAATAAAATATAAATGTAATTTGACTTTTTCAGGCTACATTTTCACGAATTGCACGAATCTGCAAAAATGACAAAGGTGATAAATTTAATGAAGGAGTGTGGACATCATTCTTCAAGGCTCGTTTGAACTGCTCTGTTCCTGGTGATATCCCTTTCCCATTTGATGAACTCCGTAAGTTAAACTTTATTAATTCTTTGATAAAATGTTAATAACTTCTTGTCTCATTCATATACATGTGTCTTGCTCATGATATGAGAATCGATTTAACATGCAAATTGTTTGTCATGTGATTCATAAGCATTAATGAAGTCAACCTTTGGCATAAAAAAATTATTAAAATTATCTTTTCAGAGGCGGCGTCAGACTTTAACAGTGGTAACTTCATGCCAACAGAGAGCAACGAAAACCGTACCAAAATGTTCTATGGTGTATTTAACACCCCTGATAACAGCATAGAAGGTTCTGCAGTCTGTGCATTTACTTACGATGCTGTTAAAAACGCGTTCCATGGAAAGTTCAAAGGTCAGGAAACAGCAACATCAAACTGGTTGAGTATTCCACTGGATAAAGCCGTGTCACCACACCCTGCAACTACGTGCAACAGTGACAGCCAGTCACTCCCAGACAAGAACATGAGATTTATTTTAGAACATCCTCTCATGGACACTGCGGTCGGTGCAATGGGCGGAGCTCCTGTCTTTATGCAGACAATGGCAAAGTAAGTAAAAAAAAAAACACCTTCACTAATCAATTGAACATATGTTATATTTGAGTTTCCCCTAGAAGTATAAATTGAAAATTTTGATTGCATTAAAATATTTAAAAAATACTAAATTAACTCAGATGTTTCTGTTCAACATTAATAGAGTGACTCTTTGATAAGTGAACTACTTCTTGATACAAAAACACTGTTAATACAATTTGTATTCAAATCCACTATATACCTACTTTAAAGTACCAGAAAATGCATCATGTAATCTGTAGATTGTAATATGAAACTAGGCGTTTATATTAGAAATATATTCAAACAAGGAGGCCATAAAACTGTTGTATGGATAAGAAAAAGTAATCTTCAATGTAGATATCCTATGTCCCATAAATTATGTCCTGTTCATATATAAGAGGGGTTATTTCAGGTTATCAATATGATAAGTGTGAAACATCAAATTTCATTTATACCCAAACTTTCATGCATTTAAGTACGTTTCACTTTGCATTATATTGCTTTGCTGCAACGTTATATTAAGTTGGATGTATTTCAGTAGATAAATTAGTTTATGCCCGGTTTGACGTAGAGGCCGCCCTACCCCTGAGTTTTAGGCAATAAATAAAAGGCATCTCATGAATTATTAATTAGGCGAAACATGGCTTTTACCTGTAAATCCATTTAATGCATAAGGTGAAAAAAATAATCTGACCTAGTTTATATTATAGGTGCATTAGACAAGGTTAAGATATATAACTTCTCATTTTCTAAAAGGAGCAAAGCACCACAGTTGTGACATGTTGTTGAAATTCTTTGGGCTATAATAGTGTCTGAATGGTGTAAAATGATATAGAAGTTTAAACTAATTATTTACAAGATTTGGGTTCTCAGGGAATTTTTCATTGCTTGAACCTAATTGAGTATTTTAGAAATTTTAAGTAAACATAAAATATTGCACTGTCAATATATCATGGTATTTACTTTTGTGAAATGAATCTGTTTTAATTTGAATTTTTAATTCAGTCTGTGAGATCTGAGCAAGACTTGCTGATGTAGTGTTTGCTCACATCTACAAAAAAATCCCCCCTACTCAATGTAAGCATATCATCTAATGGCTAAAAAACGGTTTCACATTAAACAATATCTTGTATAACCAGTCATGCAAATCCAAAGAAAGGACCCAAAGATAAAACATGTAAAAAATGAATCATAACATCATGTCAAGAACATTACGGTGAAATATATGTTAAACATAAATTATATTATTCTTTTTTTCGGAGTTTTTTTTGGTCATAATACATCAAAATACATGATAAATGAAAGTGATCAAATTAACATATTGATACAAAAATTAGTTTTTTGCTTTATATTGAATGAGAAGAGGAAGGTCATGTTTTACACTAATGAGCCAATAGCATACACAAATTATACAAAAAAAAACATTTGCTTAATTTATGTTACAAACTGAAAAACACATTAGAGAAGTAAAATATGATATAGTTAAAGGACAGAATTAATTTATTAAGGTCACCATGGCAACTGGTTGTTAGGGTGATATATGTGACATGCTATATGTCATGTGTCACATGATTTTTGGTTTCTAAGTCCAATGAATAAGCCTAGAGAATGATAAGAATAGTAAAAGGGTTTAGAGATTATTTAAGTGTTTTGGGTTAGAGGTTGTGACTCAGAATTAAAGGATGCACAATAATAATTGCACTCTTTAAGGTCAAAGGGAAGTGAAAAGAAGATATTTTATTCATACATCTGTATATCATGGTCACAGAGGTAAACCACCAAGGTTGGTTACATTGCACTTGTTTAACTGATAGGTTATGTATCTATGGATTTTGACAATTGAGGTCTATGCAAAAAAATATGTGAAAGTGTGGTTGTGAAACCATCAGTGTCAAATGCATAGTCAAAAACTAAAACAGTTTAACTTTGTCATGGAAAAGGAAAATGTAAATTTTGTATAGAGATCATATCAAGAACTTCATGAAGCATCATGAATTAATGATAATTATGTAGCATTGTAAATCTTACGGGTAATTCTTTATTTCTCTGATCATGTTATTTATGATATTAATCAATAAGTCAATGACCTCCTCTTTTGAAAACACAACCACTTTAGTAAATAAAAAACTTGAAAGGTTAGATATATTTAAAGAAAGAGATACCTAAATAACGTTCATGGGACACCTGGTGTCAGGCAAAATGACAATATATAGATACCATCATCTTGTATATGGGTCATTTAAATTGATAGAGCATAAAAATAAACTGTTAAACACCACTTTACAAAAGCTTATGTGATATTTTATGATTCCTCATTCTTAATATATTTTTTGTATATGTTTTATTCTATAGACTGTTGCCTCCAAAGTTTGTTTTGAAACCCACTTATCCCTACAGCTATTTACTTGTTTAATTGTTTACAGTAAAATGATTTTGACAAGATACCGGGAGAGAAGATAATTCTTTAATAACTTCTTCCACATCTATGCTTTTAGAGATAATAAAGTCACTCAAATTTACTGAAGATTTATTGCCAATAAAATTAACACATTATGAGCCGACCTATCAGTATTTCTGATTGCACGCTACTTACGAAATGTTGATAGAAATGACATTTTATGACATGTTTTAACAGTTTTTCACTTTGATATACATTAAATATATCATGATGTTTGATTTATGGAACTTTTGCTATCTAAACTGTTAAATAAGAATTAGATACAGGTGTATAATTAGTTTTTTTTCCTGGTTTCTCTCATAATTATGCTCATTATTAATACTTTGCTGTAAATAAATTGCATGAACAGTCTTGTTTATTTCATGCTTGAAATTGTCAGGAAAACACCATAAATTCAATCTATTTGTGCTAAAAATTGACAGAAATTGGAGTCTTCTGTTTGCTTCTTTTTAATTGGGTATTGAATTATGCTTAAAATATAAAATATCCCAGATTTGAACATAACAGTGTGTTGTAGAGGTCAGAGGTAGAGAACAATTGCATTATTGAGATAAATTACCTTAATAATGTCTCTTGAAAGCCTAATATTCTTGTTTGTGATGTAAATTAAGTAATTTATTTTGGGAACAACTTGGAGAATTATATGAGCAAATTGGAAATGGAATTTATAAGACTTGACTTGAAATGATTCTAAATTTGGAAGGAATATGATGAATGGCAAGATGAGTGGCAATCTTGAAAAGAATTATTGTCTATTTCATTGCAATAAAATATTGAAATATTTATTAAAACAACAACAACAACAACAACAAGTGAAAGTTTTCATGCCTTTAAAAAAATAAGGTAAAAAAAGAGTATTATTATTTTGATACCATTTCTTTTTAGCCAGTATGAGTGCAAATCTGAAAGGTTAAGGTTTCCCCCAGTAGTACATGCCAATAATTATAACCACAATGCTCTAACTAAAGTCTCTTTCAATTTATTAATTATGTGTGAGAGATTTTGCTTTCTGCATGTTAAAACAGAAACAGTGCAAAAAATGTACTCAACAGCATGAATAATTGTTAGTGTTAAGTTTTAAATAACACAACCAAAATTACTGTTGAGAAAATAGCAGCATTTAATCAAAAGGCATGAATAGAATATTCAGAAAATGCAGACTGCAGAAAATGTATCCAGAAAAATCAGTTTGTTGGCAAAGCTGTTGAAGTGCACTTGCTGAAGTTCTTACTGGATTAAAGAGTTTCTCTATCTACGTCATTACATATGGATAGGCCAAGTAAAATAAAATACAGATATTTCAGGTTTTCAGAATTACTAAATTGTTAAAATTTTGTTGCCAATCCTTGATAATTTATTGGTCTCAAAAGTGTACTCAAGTCAATTTCAGGATAAAAAACACTACTTTGTTTCTTCTATATGCAAAGAGAAACTTCTGTGACAATAACAGTTTACTTACAGATGAAACCAGAAGCATTTATTTTATAATTTGGACTTAGGTTTTCTAGTGCACTGTTTACATAATCTCTCCAGCACCAGATAATCTTATTCCATGATAATTTATTGGCTGAACTGGCTACAGTTCCTTGCCAAACCTTTGTTTTATGTTTACCCTACATTTACATTATACTAACTTAAATAAACCTTGAAAACTACAAAGGTTGATAAAACAGTCAGATATCTGTTAATATAGAATAATAAATTATAACATACTGGAACTAGAAATGAAGGGATTTCACATGTTGAGACTAGATTTGTTGATTTCTTCTGAATTATACTTTGTCATAAATATGAAAAAGAAAATTTCATAATTGTGAAGCTATAGATTAAACAAAATATTCTATATTATTGCACATGCAGGTAAGCCTCTTGAATATAACGCCAAGCTTTTCTAATTTTAAGATAAATCTCGAGACTCATTATTTTCTAAGTATCGTAATTAGAACAGATGCCTGTAGCTTTCTGATTAAAATGTTACTGGCAGGTATAAAAAGTTATAAAATATGAGTTGGTACATCAAACTTGAGTTAAGAACAGCAACACATGGCTGTAACCACAAGTATACAAGGTAAAACAAAGCCTCATTTCTTGTCTTCAGGTAATTTAATGAAGTATGTCAGAAATTGGGAGTGAAAGAAACCCTTGATAAAAGTGCAATATGAGTATAATACACTTAAAGATAAAAGTGCACGGAACAAAAGTTGGCTTTCATAACAAATTATCCAATGTTTTTGCTATTTAATGTAAGGTAGTGTGTCAGATTGTAATAATAATACTATGTTTTGATGTGGGAAACCAGACTGGTTTATTTTACTACGTATATGTGTATATAGATTGTTTAAAGTAAAACCTGAAAACCATTCTAAAACTTTTGTAACCACCTGAATATTTGATTTTAAGCCCCAAAAAATGAAAGTTTTTTAATTCGTAGAATGAAGTTTTATTCATGTCAATTTGATTTTATGTACCACTTACCTAATTAAAAAAAATTATGAATTTTTAAAAATACAGAATGTATTTTTCAATTAAAACTTGTTCAAATTTAGATTTAGATATATCAGTCTAGTATTGTTGCCTATTGAATAATAAAATATGTCAGTCATATGTCGGCGTCCTTGAAATACTGTTTTACAATGACAGACAAACAGATGTTAAGCCTAGGCGTTGTGCTAAATCTGTTACTAAAACATCTGATATATATAATAAACTTCAGCAAGAGATGCAAGTAAATGCAGCAGATAGTTTTCTATGGCACCAAAACTTATGTTTTACTCATTACCAGCCAGGATGAGTTAGATATTCTAGTCATTTGTGGCAGCATTAAATCATTAACACGTCATGCACATGGATTTATATTTTGGCATTGCATGCAAATGTTTCAACACAATTATTAGACAGATGGAAAAAGAAATACTTAATTGTTGACTATATGATGATTGAACCGATAATGAACATGATACTGACTGACTGACAAACGAAAATGTACACTCTGTAACAGAAAATGCTTTGCCAATGAATATCACTAAATAAAATGAAAATAAAGTCGAAACATACATACATGTACTTACAAAGGTAAGATTCTGTTTCCAGTTACAAAGAAACATAAAAAGTGGTCAATATATGTGCAAACATAGTTCTTGGCATACAGGTATACACCAGTACTACAAAAATGAAATAATTTAATGTTTTATTTATGTTATGTTTTCAGAGGAAGATTTACAGCTATTGCAGTTGATTGGCAACTGTATGCAGCTGATCGAGGCTACTATGATATTCTTTTTGTTGGAACATGTAAGTACTTTGTTGATTATCATTGAAACCCAAATGGCATCATAATACTATATTTGTTTACCTATACTGCTGCTCAGCCTTTCATACTTAAAACTTAGTTTCTAACTTATTATTTCTACTAGTGAATATTCTAATAATTAACATACAGTTCAATGTTCTAATACTGTTTCTGGTCTTATTTCTTGGTAAATTTTATCAATGTTCTGTCAAATTAATACAAGTTGAAAAGTGTATTCTCAATCTAATTAATGCTATTTTTAGCCATAGTACTTATAAAAAGACCAATTAGGGTAGTTTCATTGATTGATTAATTATAATGAGCTTTCTGAAACAAAAGTTGCCAATTTATTTCCTATAATGTTTGGTGCAATGATTTTTTATGGTGTAATACAGCAATAAGTATAAAATAACTGGTGACAAAGATATATCCTATATTAGTAAGTATTTTAATGACTCGATACAAATAATTTGATTTTGAAAACTTGATAGACGATAATTTTGTTATGTTGCAGTGAGGCGAAAAAAAAGAAAGTATAGTGTGACGGGGATTTTTTTACAAATTTTGAAAATATAATTAATGTAGTCATATTCTTGTGATGGGAGATGAGTAGATATATAAGCTTGTAACGAAACATTAATTTTATACTATTTACAGATACCATCTTTCCCGTCATAACTTTTTTACGCAAATATTCATAATTTAAAGGTGAATATAATGCTCCAAAGCACAGGAGTATTGTTAATTTTTTTACGCCAAACTCTATGTCAGTTTTCACTGATCACATCTAAACAAGATTTTTAGGGTGGCAAAACAGTATATTTTTTTTTTGCTTAAATAATTGTATTTTTACATTATAAAAAAGTTGATTTATTTGTCATGGTTTCCATCAAATAATTATTCATATTGGATGCACTTGTAGTAACATTTCCTCCACAATTCCTCCTATTGAAATAAAAAAACTGCTTGGAAATCTGATCATTATTATATATGATTTATTTTCACACCTGGAAGTTTGTATTTCAATACAAAAACTGGTGTTTATACTGCAGTAATGATGTGTAGGCCTCTTGTTTGACTTACCTATCATTTCATCTATTTAAGAGTAAATGACTACTTCTTGATTTCTTTTTGATGGATTTTATTGTGAACTTTTTTTATTTTTGTACAAATTGCAAATTAACTGAATTAATAACTACTTATAGAGAAACTTTTTGTTTACTGTATGAACTTTAAGAAGTGATATATTATAACATCAAGATTAAGTGCAGCAAAATAACAAATTTAAAGAAATATTACTTTATAATGCAAGAAAGATTGGACACATTAATTCTTTATGCTAAGAATTGATTCTGAATTTATAAGCTAAAATAATCAAGTAAACCTCATGACTTGATTTGTAATAAATCAAGTAAGGATTCACAATTTATTGTTTTAAATTGTCTCATTTTATATTGTACAGCTGATGGTCGAGTATTGAAGGCAGTGAATAAAGGCTTTGATGGACCAGTAGAAACGGTTGTTATAGAGGACATTCAAGTCCTTCGTACCGATGAGCCAGTTAAAGAGTTGAAGATCTATCGTCAAGGAACCATTGAAAAACTTATTGTTATCTCAAAAGAAAATATCAAGTCCATTCCATTACACAGATGTTCAGAACATAAAACATGCAGGTAAGAGCAGATTGGTCAAATATATAAAGAAGTGTGCACATTTTATCTCTGTGTGGAAATTGCATGAGGATAAATTATCACCACTTCAAAATAAACTTTTTAACAGCATATCTGTCTCATGTTTGGGGTTCATACTTGATAGCCACAGCTACTTTTTGTGCCTGAAAAGGGGCGGCTTGATTTAAAGTGTTAGAAAACATATTTGTCTGTTACATGTCGTTGAATGTAAATATGTTTTAAAACTGCTTGTGTGAAAACAACACTATTTTATTGTATTTCTTGGACACCATTGCATTTTGAGTGCGAATTCACATGGAAAAAGTAGACTTATGTCTAGAAATTTGCATTTTGTCAAACATGTGTCAACCTATGACCAGTTACACCCAGTGTTATGCAAACGTATGTAAAGTTTGCATGTCTCAGGTCTGTTTGACAAATGATATATAACTGCATGTTTTTCTTGAAATAAAAAGTGCAAATATAATTAAATTTTAACTTATTTACACAAACTTTAAAATTTAATTTCACTCTCACTGAGGCATATTATAGCATTTATTATGCCTCCTTATCACCAGTTAACATTTCTTTTTCCTGATTTAAATCCACGTATATCATTTTTTGACATAATGAATTATTGTAAGTGGAGTAAAACTTTATTGACCAAAAATATTAAATTTTACTGAAGATTAAGAGATGCCTAAATATAATAGGTCATTTCAGCAATTTATTTCACATTTGATTAAAGCTGAAAATCTTAAAAATCTGTCATAATTATTTTTGACAGCTTTAAAAGTTTGACAGATAGTGTGAAAAATACCCAGTGTTACGATTACCTATCAGGTTACAGCCGTGTGTCTACTGAATTACGGGGCATGTATGGGGTATATATGACGATAATGTACTCCAGTTGGCTGGTCAATAATTAAATTGTCCGACCGTACAATCGGGGTATCTGAGTTGAAACCTTATATGGTGGATGTGTCAAACTATATCTTGTCACATATCAAATTACACAAACTTAAAATATATGTTCGTTTCCCTACTTAGCAACACTATGATTGTGTGTAACAGACACAGTAATCTGTTTCTCGTGTTAAGTCACATGACTGCCAAAGTTGTGCTGTTACAATTTAAAAACTTAATCAGAAAATTAAATTTAGAGAGCAATGGTATTGAATCGAATCAGATGATTTTAAAGGCTTCAAAGATTTTGTTGCATTTTGAACCTTTAGCCTTCTAGCTAGCCATGAGACCTGTACAACTAAAGATCAGCCGCCGCATTTGTCACATTTACAATACCAAGCTGTGGTAATAGAAACCAAATTTACTTTCTGTCAGCTTAAAGTAGGTCAGTAAAAAAACAAATGCCAGAATGGTATAAAACAATATGTAAGGTCTCTGATTGGATGATTTAGAGTACAAATTTGACATTGTCCAATGAATATGTTCTATTCAGAGATACTTGCTCAGCTGTTTTGATAAGCTATGTGAAAAAAATGTCAACAGTTTATAAACTAATTACATACTGACTTTGCAATATTATATATGCAAAAAAAATTTTTTTTATAAAACTTTTCAACTGTTCACTTCATTATTCATGTAAATGACAAATTTTTCTCTGACTTGGTTGAATAGAACTCCTCATCTTTTTTATAAAGGTATTTAAAGCTGTATAATATATGATATACTTGGGGTAAAGGGCTTTTAAAAATTACCATTTCAGTATTTTGCGACTTCTTTTACATCTGAATGAACATGAATTACAGTTTTAAAATTGCTATAAGGACACATGAGATATCTCATCTTATTATCAACTAAATAAAAAGAAAAGTAATCCATTAAAGTGATATGTGGTCTTGAAACTAGGTCAATTATTTGAAATATATTTTCCATCCAATAAAATTACAGGATTTTTTTTTTCAAATCAAACAGAAATTTTTCACACTTCAAATATGTTTACTTATTTTCAAATTATATGCTTTGAGAATATCTTACATTGAAGTAAAATAATGGTAAAATATCAATGTTAATATTTGTAAAACATAAAATATTATGATAATGACTTGCAGTTTTTATAAAGAAACATGATAAAATGAGTGTAGGTCAATTATTTTGCATCTTTAAACTTTGAAATAATTAACTTACAAAAATCTCAGTCAGTATGAGATTCCTTTGATACAGGATATTTAGTAAAAATAAAAACAACTTCATTTTAATTTTGATGAATTTAGTAAATCTTTAATTATCTAAATTCTACTGTTACTGACTTTATATTTTGAAAAGTTTTCAACATAAATTACATTTTAAAGAGAAAATAAAGAGTCTGGTCATATTATTTCCAAATAATAAAACTATTTATAGATGCATATAGATGAAAATACCATGAAATTAACATATTAAAATATAGTTAATAAGTTAATGTTTGTTATGATGGATAATACCATCCTATAAGTTGTATCGGACATACAAAATTTTATTTTACTTGTCTTAGAAAATGTGTAAAGGTTGCCAAAGGCTCGTTTTATAACAAGTTCTTGGACTCAATGTTTGATAAAACTATACATTACATGGCAATTCATGGGAGGTTCTATACATTGTATAATTGTGCCATATGAATATGATTATATCAAGGGATATAGGGTCACTTCTACCACTGTTATTTGACCATGTTTCCATGATTCTTAGCTCACACTTTATTGAGCTGTTCTTATCAAAGCCTTCTCATGCTGAATTAATGCTAAGGACTTGATCTTTTTGAATGTCAAAGAGTTATTAAGTGATTTCAGGGATTTTTTTTTTATAAAAAATTAGTATGGGGTGTCCAAAATTTTAAAAACCTTGTAAAGGCCTCAACAGACGGTAGGATTTTGAAGTACAACACCAATTAAAACTAAGACGTACAGACAAATCTTAATGTGTGAAGGCTACTATTTCTTGATTTCGGAAACCTTATGTCGAGATGTAAAGGGGATTTTGAATGTCAAAGAGTTATTAAGTGATTTCAGGGATTTTTTTTTATAAAAAATTAGTATGGGGTGTCCAAAATTTTAAAAACCTTGTAAGGCTTCTCTGATGTACAGGCTGGCCTAAATCTATAACTTTGGTAGTAGCAAGCCATTATAGGAAATTGCACAGCCACAAATGTATTAACGTTCTTTTAATTTTTCTTTTTAGCCAATAAGCATTGGTTTACTCTGATAACTTTCAGTTTAATCAAGGTTATAATAATATGATATACCACTACAAGTTGTAATAATAGAAACCAGATAGTCTTGATGGAGAAGTATATCCTGAAAACAAGCTTGCAAAAAGTAAAATAAATGTTATCCATAACTCAGTGATAAATGACTTTGTAATGATTATTACGTAATTACAGCTGTTTGAGAGGGAGCGAAAATGGGGAGAAAAATGAGTCTTAGCTCGTAAGCTTGTTATATATAAATATAACAGATTTAGATAAGTATCTCTCAAAGCAAGTGCTTCTTACAATCAATCCTATCATTCTTGTGAAGTTTGGTGCTAAAATATCATTTCTCTTTGAATGTTCTATATATCATAATGGAACTTTCATATAGGAGTCTGTATCGCAGAATGTTATGGCACTGGTACTTGATAACATGATTATAATTACACAGAAACTTTGTAGAAAACCCAATAATTTCAAGTGGCATGTATGGTTTTATTGGTCATTTTACTGCTATGATATGACATGTTACTTTATGTTAACATCCTGATATTTTTGTATATTTGCAGTTCCTGTGTGGCTCTCCAGGACCCATACTGTGCTTGGATAAATGATGAGTGTAATGTTGGTGCTAGAGGGTAAGAACTTTGACTACTTAGATTCCTTATTATCAATTAAATTGCATTAGTACTGGTGAATATCAACTGATGTTGCATTAGTACTGGTCAATACCAACTGATGTTGCATTAGTACTGGTCAATACCAACTGATGTTGCATTAGTACTGGTGAATATCAACTGATGTTGCATTAGTACTGGTGAATATCAACTGATGTTGCATTAGTACTGGTGAATATCAACTGATGTTGCATTAGTACTGGTGAATATCAACTGATGTTGCATTAGTACTGGTGAATATCAACTGATGTTGCATTAATACTGGTCAATATCAACTGATGTTGCATTAGTACTGGACAATATCAGTGATTGTTGCATTAGTACTGGAAATATCAATTAATGTTGCATTAGTACTGGTCAATATCAACTAATATTACATTAGTACTGGTCAATATCAGCTGATATTGCAGTTGTACTGGTAAATATCTACTGATGTTAATGATTCTTAGAAAAACAACATGGATGATCAACTGTAAATAATGAAATATATGCATTTACTTGTTGTTTCCTTGAATCGTCACACATTGATGTTATTCGTCTCTTTATAATGATTTTATTGTTTACATTCTAACATTTTTTCTCACTTATTTATTTCAGGTTGATTGATATCAGAAGTGGTGACACATCTAAATGTCCATTTAATGCAGAAGAAGGTAAATAAACAGAACAATAGAATCTATTGAACTTTTTATATAACAGTTTTATATAAAGATAATATACTATAACAGTATAGGTCTATAAACTGATTCCTGTAAACAGTTTTGTTGTCAGTAAAGTTATAGCAGTATGACTGTTAGTCAAGTTTGGACAGATTTGCTGTTTGCCAAGCTTTGACTGTTTTGCTGCCAGCCTTAAAATATGTACCTTCATTCTCCTTCATCTTCAAGCTGATTATAAAATTTAAAACATGTGTATTATATGATTTTTAAGATGATTCAATTTTGTAGACGATTTTATAAAATTACATTCTGTTGTAAATTGCATTCTTGTGGCATGTTGTTTTAATTGCGATTTAAATGTGCAACTGTTTAACATGTATTTTTTTAACTTCCGTGAGAGTTCATGATGGCAAGGAATGATACCTGAGAGCAGCTTATTATGGTTTTACACGTCATTAATATTGTGTTATTGTAGTTCTGATTTTATTTTCCAGTTTGGAAATGTTTGTTTTTCTTAAGGTTTGCAGCTGCTGTAGCAGAGATGAAACAAAATATTGTTGTATTTTATATAACAATATGGCTATCGTTGCCAGAGATTTCAGTTTTTTATTTGTTGTATATTAATTTTATTAAATGTTATCTACAGACGAGACACCAGTTATAGAAGTAGTGACAACTACGGTGGCGCCTGTACTGACACCCTGTCCTGTTGTTACATGTAATTGCTCTCAGTATAACACAGACATTTTGACAAATTCTTCTGATAAAAAAATCAATGGTTAGTTTGTATGGTACTTTGGTAATTTTCTTAAGTTCAATGTTCATTTTGACAATGATGTTTTCCAAAAGATCAAAATGAAAACTGCTTTCCTTCTCTTTTAATAAAAAAATATTGTAAGAAATTCCTTATATATTTTCCATTTTCTTATAATTTTTTCGTTGAATTATATAATTTTTTATTGATATCAGCTTTAAGTTACTATTAAAAATTTTGTTGGTAACAGTTTCTGTTAGAATTTAATTTAAATTTAGAGTGGTTATAATTAATTTTAGTTTTATAAGATTTTGATATTGTGTTGTGGCATGCCTGTGGCCTTTGGACTTTGACCTTGACCTTTTGATTGCTTTTATCTTGACCTTTTTTCCCTGCTTTTTCCTTCCACTTTACCTTAGCATCATACAAGAGTCATGAGAGATGACATATAGTTAAAGGGAGGTAATCTATCTTTTAATGTTTAAGTTATGGGAAGACAATTCTTTGAAAAGTTATAAATAAGTAAGAATTTTGTAAAGTGAGGTTTAATGATTTATGTTAAATTTGTTTAAGTTTCTATGAAATATTTGCAAAAAAAAAATAAAGGGGTAAAAAATCGAAATGTAAGGGAGCTTACTCCTATTGAAATAATTAAGAATGATAAGAAGAAGAGGAACTTTTATTAGCAAATCCACACATTTACCTTGCCAAAAAGTTAAACATTCCACAAAGTTTAAGTAGCTTTTGTTGGAAGCAGTCTGGTGAATTGGCCAGGAATTTCACAAGAAAACCATTTTGTAGAAATTATTTCTTGTTGTATTTACTTTCAAGCCAATTAAACGAATTTACAGCAAATTACACAATTTATCATTAACATCTTATCTAAAGGATAATAATCATTGAGTAGTAAATCTTAATAAAATAAGGCTTTTTTGTATCCAATTTAGAGGTTATTTTTACCAAGTTTAGAGACTATTTTCCTTTGCTAACTCTAGGTAGATCTAGAAAGATTTAGATTTAACACAAAGACTTTTTTTCTTACATTTTAATTAATGACAGCGTCTGATTACATTCGTGCTTTAACATCTGTAAGATGTAATTTATGCTATGATGCAAAACATTTGTTCAAAGCAGGCCTCTGAAAAAAATTATTACAGCAGCAGACGGAAGTTATGTTGAAAGCCTCTGGCTTAATTGGCAAGGTATATGTATATTCATGAAGTTTCAGAAGTAATAAAGGTGTTAGTAGTTGGTTTAAAATTCAACATTTAAGAAAGCTGAAATATTAGTATTAAAAATATGTTTGAATTGCATATTAGCCACAAATAATATCTAAATAAGTCACCATTTTAGTGAATGTGAAAGTTTGCTGAAATAGTGCCTAAGAATCTTATATTTCTGCCATCAAAAATAACATATAATACATAAAACTTTTGATAAACATTCCTTTTAAATATTTATAAAAAGAATTTACCGACGCCAGAGCAAATTCATTAGCTTTTGGTACATTTTTGAGGAATATTTTTTTCCATAAAGATGCAGGAAAACATTATATATCAGGATTTTGTCAGTGATTGACAATTCAGACAAGTTCATGTGTGTTACAAAGCTGTAATTGATGACTTGTCACTTTTATTTCAAATGTTCAAACATTGATTAAGCATTATTTTATTCACTTTATTTCCATGTCAGTATTCAGCATGGGAATATTTATAGCTTCCTACATGAATACATTAAACTAATTTCCTGAAAGCCATCTATCCTTTATCTTATAGAGGAAATCATTTAACTAGTGTCAAAGTGGAAAATGCTGAAAGTGCTGAGTCTACATATTTTGTTTTATTACTTGTTAACTCATTAAAGAAAGATAAAGAAATTCAGGAAAAAATGTTCAATTTAAGTCATTACTTTGTTTGATTGCTGCCGTTTGATTGAACTGTCCTGAAATTTATTATAATGATTTCCTGATATTTATAAGAACTCACTAACTTATGATTTGTTTTTTAAACACAAGGTTATAAAACTTTATACTTAGACCAGTCTGAAATTATTGAAATCTCATTGGGTAATTCTTGTCTCAGATTTGAAATCAATCAATGAAAGATTTCCATGTCAAGACTGGTTTACAGTTTCAATTTTGTGACCTTAAAGTACACAGTATCCACCTTAAAAAACTTGATGTACACATATATATTAAAGGTGAAGGACAGTAATGATATGCTTGTAAAATATACACACATATAAACAGAAAAACATTAATATAGATTATCGTTTAGTTTGAATTTGTAATAAAATAAAAACATGTAAAACGTTTGAGCATTGTGCTGTTTGAGGCTGAATATCTGAATTTATACACAAAAGTTTTCATACATTTTATCATGAAAAACAGTTAATGGTGTCATAGCTAAGTGGTTAATGTGTAGGACTAGTAATCTAATTAACTCTAGCCAATTGGGTTCAAATCCTATCAGGGGCAACCCGTTGTTTACAAGAAACTTTACTCTCATTGCTCAGTACTGGTTGGTTCTAGGAACAGATTCAAGAGTTTGTCTATAAGCTTATAGCTTACACAATCAAACTAAAATAAACTCTGTATAAACTAAAAATAGTTTTGGTTGGTATCTTAAGAATTAAATTTAGTGGTATGTATTTAACCATGGATCAGTATACCTGTTACTGTAGCCACATACTGTCTCACATAATTGTAACACTATCTTTGCTTAATCACATATAAAAACAATTGCGCTTCAATTTTCTCTCCATTTCCTTTTTCTAAAGCTTCCTTGTTAGGCAGATTTCCTCTTGCAGTAATCTAATATAGTAAAAAGTTTTCTTGTTATTAACTGCTCTTTTCTACGAGTTCTTATCATAATGCTTGATAATAATTTGTAATCAATCTTGCGGCCTTCTGATATTCTTGCCATCTTCGTGACTATATGATATTTATGAAATACTCTCTGTTTGGCATTATAAAGCATAATTTAAGAATGTATTGTAGATGAAATTATATAAATGCCATTCAAAAATCAATGTATTGGCACATTTCAAGTGTGTTTATTTTTATCAGTCTAAAGTGATGTGTTCAAAACTTTGTAAAACAGCTTACATTCTGCGCAGATTTTGTCCCTGTGCTTAACACCACCTATTTCTTAACTCCGCCTACTTAAAAATAAATCCTCCCTAAACACCACCCATGTCCTGAGGTCCAGGCATGCATACATGTATGTGCAATGTTTTTGGAAAATGCCAATTCTGACATATACATGTATATTTCCTATCAGGAGCATTACAACCCGTCCCTGACCTCGAGGGCAACGCAAATGTGGCTCAGTCAAGGGCAGAACCTTGTGGTAAGCATATCTCATTTTTGTTTCATCCCACCCACTTCAATCGCTGGTAGACTAAGCTCAAAGAAACTAATTGCGAATAATGATTAACGCACCTGCTTGTAGCTTAAGTGATAGCAGCAGACGTAACTGAAACTGCAGCAGACGTAACTGAAACTAGTGCGTTATATGCTAAACATAAAAAATATCTAACTTTGCATGATTTACATGAATTCTCTTCTAACTTAATTGCTTATTAACAAAATTGCAGACATCTACCTATATGATATTGTGCATTTGATACATATATCGAGAATTAACAGATGTGAATTTTGTATTAGAGCATGAACTTATTTTACCTTCTCAAAAAATTATAAGGATTTTTTTTTGTTAGTGTTATTCAAGGGAAAAATCTTCAAAATAAGAATTGAAATCTTTTCTACCATCCAAAAATTGAAATTGTATTTCCGATGTATTTAGATTATTTCTTGCACTTATAAAATAAAAAGAAATCATTATAAATATGAGTATGTTAATTCTTTTATATTGTAATTTACTAAATTCTTTAGACATGGTCTTTTTTACAAGTTTTTATAAGACTTCATGCCAGTATTCCATTTAGAATGTGAACAATTTATTTTCTGTTGCTTTTAAAAGTATCGTCATGGTAATGTTTTAAGTTCAGAAAATTGAAAAACTCAGGACTATAGTGAATTTGCTTAAAATGCTTACATGATATATGCATGAGGAATAAAGTAATATTTTAGATCAGCTTCAACATAACCAGCTTTAATACTGGTGGTGGGGGAAATGTTATTTTTTCTTTATCATCATAGCATTGTACTGAATTTTAGATCTTTCGTAAGATTACCATGGTGTTAGGGAAATTCAAAACATACTATATGTATTATGTAAAAGATTAAAAGCACATGTCAGATTATGTTTTGTCTGGCTTTGTTAAATGTAAGCACTGTTAATTGTGAGAGTAAACTAGGAAAGGTATTTCTGGGAGTAATGTTGCAGCATTACTTCCATTGTTGAAGGAATTACTATCTGAACAATTGCTATCTAAACATGCCAAGTCTCATAGTGCTAGTGCTAGCTAGTCTTAAGAAATAAATATTCCATTAACTTACAGCATGAATAATGTGTACCGCTCTGTTACTTAGCACATAGTTATGTAATAATGTGTTGTTATAATGAATTTCTTTGATAGATAAGTACTTTAAGAGAAGGTTTTTGTTATTTAATGTATAACAATAGCACATGGCTGTATTAACATTGAAGACTGACTACTACCTCTTGGTACATCAGAAAATAGATATTCTTGATAAGGGAAGATCCCACCCCAAAAGCTATTAAAGATTTAATAAATGGTGAAAATCACACACTCATTTTGAAAGTGTTTAAAATCATTTAAAACATCACTGTTTTGCTTCACTTTCATCATCATTAATGTCAGCATCTTTTCTACGATCATTTTCATTGTCATCTGATTCTTCAACTTCATTCAACTCTTTCAAGGCTTAATAGCTTAAATGGACCATTTTTCAATTTAAACAAAAACTACTCATCATTTTTAGGAAGATTTTCAAAATATATCTGCAAGCTTTATTGCAAACAGCACAGGTTATGATGAAACGGCATAGAATGAACCAGGTGATCTTGGTCTGTGGTGTTGGCATCAGTTGATGAATTTTCCATCAGTTCACTACATTGTATAGATGAATAAAAGATAATCATCATTACCATTTCATTAGCTGTTATTTTAAATCTTAATGCATTTTTGTGTACCTTTTTTTAAATTTTAAACTTAAAGCAATTTTGTATTTTTAATTTGCTTCTGTACCTTACATGTATACTATAGCTTGGCCATTTCACAGTTTTCTTTAGTTTTGAATGTATGTGAATATATATATGACCCTGATAATTAATTTGTTGAATAGTGAATGTTGTATTATTGCATGATGTTTACCTTGACTCACACTGTTCTGCATGGACACAGTCTTATAAATCAAATTTTATTTTTTTATTATTTTTTTTTTTTTTTGGTAATCTACAAATTGTGTTCTTTTCATATATTTTTTTCTTTCTGGTCAATTGAACATAATGATTAATATATTTTTGCTTCATCATGTTTGAAGTTAAGGGAGAAAAGTGTAGGAACATGTCTGTGTGTTGTTTTTTTCTTTCACATACAAGATCCTAGTAATTGAATTGTATAAAATTAGAAGATAAATTTAATTGATATTGTTAACAATATCGTTTAACAAGAAAAAAAAATATTTTACTCAATAACTTTTTACACAAAGGCCTATATGAGATATTATTATTTCAATAGCTCACCTTTTGAATTGAATTACTATGATCTTGTATGAAATGTAACTTATATGTGTTTTGATATGTTACTTGTTTTATATGTCATTCATTTTAGGTATCAAACCAGGGGCAGTAACTCAGTTATATGTTATGTGTGTTGTGTATCCTGCTATCCTGAAGTAATCTTTACTTCATTCATCAAATATGTGTTACATATATCATCAGTTGGAGTAGGGTGTTATATTAGTCTTCATTCTTCAAATTTTTGAAAATATTTATTATTGCTTTTTTCAGAAACAAAATACATTCCAATAAGAACAGACGATCAAGTTTACACAGCATCTACGTTGGCGATCGCCAGTGTTGTTTCAATTGTTGTTGCCGCTCTTATTGGCTTTGTTATTGGTTATAGAGTCAGCATGTGTCGAAATCATACAAGAAACACAGAACAAATGATAAGTTTTGAACAAAACTTTGGATCATTACGGAAGAATCCCAACAGACATTCGATCAACGAAGCCACGCATAATTATTACTCGGATCCAGCTTCAACAAAACCATTTATTAATAAAAACAATCTGACAAATAATGTGATTGTAGCACAGAATATGCCACAGAAAAGTCCAAATTTACCAAATGGGTCAGTGGAAACAAAGACAATGTCTCCAAAACAAGCTTCAAAAACATATTTATAGCAATTTGGGTGATAAAAACATAACGAATTTTGTATATATCAAATTGTATAAATTGAAAATAACAACACGTGTGGCTTGACAAGTGTCTAAAATTGAACAAGTTTTGTTTTTATTTTTTAAAATGGAGATGTGTTTAAATATTCCAATGGAAGTTACCAGTCGTGAAATATTGACAAATACTTCAGTTGACGAATAAGACGTTAGAAATTTCTGGAGTTATTTGTAATTTTCCAACGGAGCCTAATGAAGCTGTGTGTCTGTAGAGAAGGTAATGAATTCAAATACAGTTCTGCAATAAAAAGCTGAAAATAAACATAGCCCTGAATCAGAGGTAATTCTGTAGTAACTGAGTGTTCCTGGTGAAAGCTTGAAATGAAAGGCTTGACAGAAATGACTGGAATTGAGTTCAGTAGAGGGTAAGAGGAAGGTGTTCATCCTAATCCTTGAAGAAATGAATAATAAAGTTAAGAACTGAGGTAACTTAAGAAGTGAGTAAAAAGAGGAGTGCTATAGATGGAGGTATACAAAAAATGTAAGCATTAAAATTGGAGGTGTAGTTACACTTACCATGTAAACAAAAAACTTACAAAATAGTGTAAGACTAACACTATGTTAAGTGTAGTGTAAGACTAACACTATGTTAAGTGTAGTGATGTTTATATGAGGTAGAACACAGATATAAAATGACGGTGAATAATGTTATATTACACTGATTGTTATGTAAACATCATTGTGGCGAAGCCGCTATTATATTGAATACTGTAATGTTCTTGTTTGGTGCACATTTTGTTTTGATATGTTTCGTTAATGTCAAATTTTGAGATGTTCTCGGAAAGGAAAAACAGAATAATTACCTTTTTTAAGTCATTTTTTTGTATATTATCTGAAACAAATAAAGTGAAGGGGCATTTTGATTATTGATATAGGGCAAGTCTACAAAACTGCCATTTTTGAAAAGAATTACACAATTTCTTTTCAATTAAATATGATTTGGTATGAAGCCTAAATATAGGAGTATTTGGAAGAAAAGAACATTAAGGGCCCCTTTTCAACATAGAAGAAATAGTACTGGCTTATAACTTAGAAATTTTCATTTTTACAAATATTTGAAATATGACATAGAACAGTCAGAAGTTGGAAACTTTTGTGTGTCAAATTTTGTATCAATGTTAAAAAAGAGCTTATTTGCTTTATTATATGTAATGTACAAAGTTTGATATTACTTGTGCTATAAATAGAATTCACATGATCTCACACCACTGTGCTTCTGTTACTATAACAATTGTTGTCATAGTAACTGTTGCCATGTAATTGTCCTGTTTCTGTTGAAAGATTTTCATTTTTTTTCTTCATCTGGGAATCTTGTCAAATAAATTTTCCAAAAAAAATCTGAATAAATGAAGGAAAACACGGGAGACATGGAAATTGAAATGTTCATATTAAATTAATACTTGATAAGAAAACTTTGGTATAATTTTTCTAAATTTTTAAGTTTCTTTATAACTAGAATGATAATTATGTTTGGTTTTATTGTATTTTTTAAATGAAGTACATAAATGTTAAAGAAATAATAATAAAATGATGAAAGTATAAGAGAGTGGGAAGTTTCAGCAGTAGTTTGATAAAGGAGTTTACCCAGATGTGATAGATAATATGACTTTAATCTATTCGGACATTGTATCATATACACACATTACTCAAGTCATTTTGAAATCTCAATTATCCCCTGCAAAAGTGGTATAGACTTGCCCTGTTTTTGAATTCTAGAACTATTCATTGTATATTACAGGGAGTTTAAGAGAAAGGAGGCAATAGTTGAGTGAAATGGGAAATTGTAAAGATATACAATTAGGCCTGACTGTATAAAGAGAGTGTACAGATGTACATTTAGGCCTGCCTGTACAAGGAGATTGCACAGATGTACATTTAGGCCTGGCTGTATAAGGAGAGTGTACATATGTATATTTAGGCCTGGCCGTATAAGCAAAGTGTACAGATCGATGCCTTGGTGCGAAAGGGTTGTAACTCAATATTTTGAAATTATTCAGGAGAGACAAAAAACTTATTTATTCTTTTACATTCTAATAAATTCTTCTTTAATTTTGCTTTTTGGCTTTAATTCAATTACTGATATATAATTGATTGGAAAGGTTATTTTATTTTGTCAGCATAAAGAGATAATTGATAAAGTTTCAGTTACAACCCTTTCGCACCAAAAAAATCAAAAATTTCAAAAAATGATTTGGTGCGAAAGGGTTGTAACTAAATTTTTGCTTTAAATTCTGATAAATGTAATAGGTCAAATGGACAGATCCAAGCTTAGTTGTGTTAAGTATGGACTAATTTAACATATTGCCTGGATATTTCAGTGAAAAACCTTCAAATTATATGTTTTTAAAATATAATTTCAGTCAAATGATTTTTTTTAAAGAAATTCACTTTATATATAATATTTTTTCTATGTGACACACAGTTCAGATTGTCAAACCCATCATAAGTACCAAATATGCATTAACATGTATGTTTTTGCAAGAATCAAAGGTAAATTTTTCGCAATTCAAAATGTGAACTTACATAATGACAAAACCATCTAAGACACATTTATTTTTGTTAATATAAGCCTTTTGAAAATGAGAATACTCTTATTTTATTTTCCATCTATTCTATACATAGGCTTTTCTTAATTTGAAAACTTAGATAATTCCTAGGATGTGCTTTTGTGTACAAATTCTATATATTTAAGCATTATCCAGGTCCTGGATCTTCTTTACTATTAAGCCAAAAGTATGAGAAAGATGATAAATATTATACATGTAGATGTTCTAAGCTTCTAAGCTCATGCTATTCTTACAACTCTTTACAGTCCCAAATTTCGTTGTTTATAATTATATAAATCAGTCCAGCCTGAATCAGTCAGTAATTAAATGAGAAAAAAAAATAAGGCCTGCAAATAATAACAATTACAAAATGCAATCCCCCACCCCAATAAAATTCACAGGTGTGCACACAAACGCACATACAGCTGAGGAAGTGATTTAAAATATCTTTATGAATCATTTTAAATAGCAGATAGAATATATCTGATAATTTACTTTTATCTAACAGAAAACAAAGGGTCAATAACATATTTTACTTGATATTTTAACATGACCCGCATAATTTTTCCTATTGAACATAGAAGAACCTATGCAATAAAATCACTGTTTGACATTCTATATTAAGACATGTGACGTAGTCATTATACACGCAAAGTAACCACTAAAATGTGATGTGCTGAAAATGAGTATGAAAACAAATCAGGCACAATTAAGATAAATAGAAGGTATGGCAGCATTAAAATTTTATTTGTTGATGTCGTGTTAGAATTAAAATAATATATATGCAAATCGCTTGGAATCACTTGATAAAATCACTGTTTGTTGAATGTGCATCATTATATCACTCGGGCTACGCCCTCGTAATTCCACACATCCGACTCCAAACAGTGATTTTATTATTGAGCGATAAAATCACAGTTTGTGATATATTATTTCTTAAATAATAGACCTATGTAACTTGTATTAAGCTAGACCTACATGTAGCCTGCTTATCTGTGTAATTCAACCATACATCATAATTTGGCTTGCAGTTTAATGGAAAGTCTTTAAGTCTTTTTCTTTTGTCCAATCAGCAGATATTTGTGTTACAATATTTAAACAAATTTGTCTTTGACAAGACATGAAAATATTCCAATAGTAATACATGTAAGTGATAAAAGTAATTCATGTAAGTTTAAAACCAAATCAAGAATTGGGTAATAATTGTATAATTTCTTTAAGTTATTTTAACTTTGAGTAATTAAAAAAGCATCGAAACACGAGACTGTCGGATTTGTATGAGAGTATAAATCAGATTGCCGATTATTTTGATGTTCTTTCTCTTTTGTATCTTAGGCAAACATGAAAACACATTCCCAGTCATCCAAGAAAAATGTACTAAATGTTTAAGCATCTGAATATGACTTTTCTATATTTATATAAGCCGGTGCTAGGGGGCCTTGCAATTTCCAGTACCGTCCATGAACAGGCTCAATCAAACCGAGCCTGCAACATTTTCAATTTTGTTGTGTTGGACTTTCTTTAGGGATTCTGTTTTTCTCTATTTTCTACTGTCATCTCCTTCCCTGTCTCTTTCCCTGTCGTCGCAATATGTAATCAAAGCACAGAAGGCGCTGAATTTGTCTCAGAATGTCAGAAAGGTGAAGGTTGTGAGATTATAAACCAATTTGTTTTTGTATAGTGCCACCAATGCTTTCTAGTGCTTTAACTGTAGTAAATTGGCTAAAAGACTAGCTGCAACAGTGATAGTCAATTCAATGTTTATTTGATTTTAAAAAAAAAAGAAAAAAATGTGTTGCTTCAACTGGGATTTGAACTCGAGACCTCTCGACTCAGAAGCGAGCGTGCAAACCCCTCGGCCACGATGAATTTATATATTAACAGCCCGAAGAAAACCGTATCATTCTAAATTAGAGTTTATAACTCTTATTTCGACGCTAAACACAGATGTAAATAATCATGGAGCTTACTGTAAGCATGTATATCTATAAAGAATGAAACAATATTAGAAATCTTCGACCATTCGGGAACTACTTTGCTTGAAAATTAATGCGCCTGTCATTTGACAATCTTTACGCATTGATCTTCCCTGAATTTTTCGGCGTTAGTGTACATATAAAGGGAAGTAACTGCTTCAAAAAAGTGGACTACTTTAGGCATTTGCAATTAACAGCATTCGGCTCTGAAATTTCGCTACCATTATTTGTTTGGTCTGACGACCCAAACAAATAAAAACTAGAAAAAATGAACCAGTTAACAAGCAAGCTCCAGACAGACAGTGAGTTAAAGCACTGTGCATGTATTGGTATGCAATTTAACTCTGACATGTTTTCAAAAGTCTCCAAACTATGATACAATCATAAAATATTGTAAGACAATTGTTTATAATAAATTTATTTTGAGTTACAGTTATTTCGTTTTCGTAAAACCAAAATAGGTCCATTACTTTTTCATGCTATTTTGCAAACAATGCAACATTATACCAATAACAATTTTTATGTTGAGAAAAAAAACCTATAATAGTACTGTTAGTCAAATATAGCAATGTACTATGATATTGTTTCTTTTACAAGCATTGGAATTGATTTATGTTTGAAAAATGTGTTAGTTATTCAAATTCTTGTAGTATGTCTGAATGAAAGCTTAACAATTATGTAAATAACAAGGAATCAGAAGCTGAGACTGTTTTATAAACTTGTCAATTAGTTTGAAAGAAATAATCCACTAAATATTTCACAGAATATGATATAAGATATTGAGATACAACTGTTTTGCTCTAGGATTTATTCAAAATATTATCAAAATGTTGGTGCGAAACGGTTGTAACTTAAGTTACAACCGTTTCGCACCAACAAAATATGTCTGTTTGAGTTACAACCTTTGGACAAATATACTTTTTTGGTAGTTTAATTTTAGCTTTCAAGTTCAATATTTTTACAACATGTGTGTATATTGCTCCTACATTGAAAAACACCATAAAACCATTTTCGGTGAAATTATGAGTTACAACCCTTTCGCACCAAGGCATCGAGATGTACATTTAGGCCTGGCTGTATAAGTAGACTGCAAAGATGTACATTTAGGCTTGACTGTATAAGAAAAGTGAACAGATGTACATTTAGGCCTGACTGTACAAGGAAATGATACAGATGTACATTTAGGCCTGAATGGACAAGGAAAGTGTACAGATGTACATTTAGGCCTGAATGGACAAGGAAAGTGTACAGATGTACATTTAGGCCAGGATGTATAAGGAGTTTGTACAGCTGTACATTTAGGCCTGACTGTTTACAATGGTGACATGGGCAGGTCCTTATCCCACTCGCATGGACTGAATTCTCACATAATATGTTCATTTTAATCATTCTTACATACATATTTACATTTATATATAAAGCAGTTACTTCAAAATCATCCTTTTAGTGAATTTTCATGCTGAAATTGTTTGATTTTCATGATGTCATCATTGTCACACAAGCAGGCCAGTATATGCTTCGGCAGCAAAACAATTCAAATTGACTGTAAGGGAAGTGCAGATGACCATTTTTTAAAAGAAATAATGGGAAGAAATTTTTATGGCAATTTTTTTTGTTACAGCCAATTTGTATCAAATGTCCATATTTTTTTTTATATGCTGATTATATTCATTTATTTCAGCTAAAATTCCCAAAAGCCAAATAATGTCATTACACTGCACCTCAGTATATGGATCTCATGTTTTCATGTTGTTTGTTAATTCAATTTGAATATATTTTTTTTTGTATGTTTTTCGAAAAAATTGTAATTGTGATGAAATAAAACAGAAAACTTTATGTTCGATTTTAAGTATGATTTTCTTTTTCATAAAATGCTACATGGAATTGTTTAGATTTGTATTAAGGATATCTGATGTACTTTCGTATCTTACATTTTACAGAATTTCTTTAAAAAAAAAAATGAAATTGGATACTTAATAGTATGATTTATTTATATTAACATCAACTTTTTGTATATAAAGAATATAATGTGTCAAATCATTTCATTTTCTTCTTTAAACCTTTTACCATGGTAAATATCTTATATGGACATGTCCATCTTTCAATCTGGACAAAACCATGCATCAGTTTAATAAGGGGAAAATATCAAAATATTAACTGACTAAGTAAAGATCCATGATGTGCCGACTGAAATTGGCCAGCACCGGTTTACAGTATTACACATTTCTTAAACAATTGTTTAGTTAAAGGGAGGTTAACTTATTGTGCACATAATTTTGTACATTATCATATTTACCTCCCTTGATTGGGAACAAATAGTGGAGACTAGTGCTATTTTATTCGAAGAAGTCTGCATTGAAACATTTCTAACTTAACATGTTGATGACATCATTATGTTTTAGTACATAGCACATAAGAATTAGTCATTTTTTTTATAATTTAAGTAAAAAAAAATTTGAACTTTCGTAAATATTTTGTAAACTAGCGGGACTAGTTTAAAAGGGATAACTTTGTTAGCGAAGTTATTTCATCACCATTTCAGATATAACGAATAGAATATGGTTTTCCTTACGTTTTAAATTATGGACATTAATTTCATGAATTTTAAAACCTTTCGTTCATGCAGAAAAGGCTAAACCATAATTTTGTTATTGATGTTAGGCAAATAATGATTTATTTTCTTGTAATATGTACATTAACTTCAGATTTATACCTGCTCATTCCATATTTATTTCCCCCTTGCTTCTTTAATAGTATATACCCTGATACAAAGGGCTATAACTCTTTGGTAAACCACAGACTATATATGGATTGCTGTCCAGTGTTCACTAAATATTCGTGTTCGTGTACATGTATAGGTTTTGTATTTGTACGTGTAATCCCCCCATCTCATTTTTTTTGTTCACTTCTGGCCATGTGATATAATGTGTATATTTTTGTTTTTTTTGCATTGTTATGTTCACCTGTTAGTTTGTATCACCACTTTTAAAACATGCATATATTTTTATACTGCACATTTATGTTTTTATGTTGTTGAAAATATAATTTGTTTGGAAATATGTGACATGCCTTAAGCAGATATATGGATAAATACATTCAAGGGTCATAATACAAAATATGCTTTTGTTTAACAATTTAATGTACATATTTCAAAATTTCATATTATACATGGTATAGTCAAGTATCTTATGACTGCATTAGAAAATTATAAAAGTGTTAAAGCACCATGCCTCCAGATTCATGCTACTTTTCATGAAAATTTTGAAAATATATTCAGAAGTAAAATAGTGTGAAGTGACCAACGAAACTAATTTATTCATTGCAAATGGCACTTTCAATCCATGTTAATTTCAAAACAAAATGTCAAATATGCAGAAAAGCCCTCTCTGCATCAGTCAGGCAGTAGAAACACAATGAAGTTACTGCAAAATCAGTCATTAACTGCACATAATATCCAAGTTATACTTGAATCTTAAATCTTTTTACTTTTCTTAAAATCTTATTACAGTTTTCTCAAGTTTGATTAGCTTGAAATAGTTTTGTTCATCTGGAGGCATGCAGCTTCAAAGTTGATTTGATAAGATGGGTAATCTTCCACATGAAAACACTGTTTCAATTATGTTTTTACGATAATTATATCTTTAAACACAATATGCGACTAAAATATTGAGAAAAGATAACAGAATAAATGATCAAACAAAAATAAGAAATACAGATATTCTCACATAAAAGAATAGAAATGTGGGTATACATATATATTTATATATTTTTATTGTGTTTTTATTTTCCAAACAATAATATGTGATAATGTAGCAGTGTTAACTTTGTTTAGTCTGTTGAACACATGTATGGTATGTCAGAAGAAACACTGCTTTCTAAAGGGTTGGAAAAGATTTGATGTTAAGTTTTATTGATATCAAACTTTTCAACATTATACAACATTCAAACTATTAAATTTATATTGTTAATACTTCTGCTCTCTGATTTTATTGATAATGGATATGACCTGTATTTGACCTAAGATTGAGTCGTGACTCATCATACATCACAGAAACTTTATAACAAGAAAAAGTTAAGATAATTAGTGAAGTTAGCAGTGTTATTCTGACATACAGTGCAGGAAAATATCAGCAGAATTGTTTTTATATCTACATGTATGACATATTTTGATGTATGCATAAAATATAGCATTAAATAAAAATAAAAATTATGACAAAATGTAATTATATTCTAGCGTTTTGCTTTATGGTCATTTTAATATTTGACTTGTTTAAGTTAAATAATGGTCATCTCTGCATACAAGGTCCTTATTTTTAGAGTTCTCTGTGGCCAAGTGGTAACAGTGCCCTCTTAATATTTTGCACATGGCCACTATGGGTTCGAAACTCTGGCAGGGCCATGAATTCTCTCACCTGAGGAAGCTATCCAACTAGCTTACATACATGTAAAGTTGGTGGTTTTATATGTCCGGGGTCCGTACTCGACATCGAAAGCAGATTAACAGGCGGAGAGACCCTCATTATTCTGCAAGAAGTCGACTATTAATGAGTTTAAAGGTTATGCTGAATTTCTGGCATTAGACTAATTTATAGCAATTTGCTTTTGTCTAAATAGGATTAAATCTGCCTATGTTATCGTATGTTTAAGAAAAGAAAATCAACATCCAGAGTATTCTTACACATACATACAAATCTTAGCTTCCTAAGTAAAAACTTTTTCATTATGAATAAATTATAATAAACTAATTATTTCTTAGCATTGAGAACAAAGAGACAATAATGACATTGTTATCTCTCTAAAATGTCGATGTTACCAGGGATTCGAGAACGTTAACTGACAGACCCCCCCCCCCCACTGTCAGTTGCTTCCCTATTTATATGCCTCAATATACATGTATTTTCAAAGGGCCGTGACACATTTGAACACTTGCCGTTCTTTGTAACGTTAGCTTTTACAGTCAGCAGAGCTCGTGAGCATAATGAATAAACTTTTTGCTCAATTCATATAATAACTGTCCTAAACGAGGCAGTTTTTGCAGTAAATGCACCATTTCAAGTGTAACTTGTTCTCCACCATTGTTTAAAGAGACGTTGGCAGAAAATCACACAATTAGTAGTATAGAATCAAACGTGAAAAAGGGGGAGAAAATGAAAGAAATAACAGCAAAAAATATTACTGTTAGCAGTTAGGGTTTTGAGGTAGTTACTAGTATAACTAAATTATATAACTATATTTCTTTAGAATACACTATAGTGGTTGTGATAGACACAGGATTTGCTTTCTTGAGGCATTGCATTTCAACTTATAGGGGATTCAGCTCCAAATTCCATATTAACGAAGTTTGCAATGCAGTTATCTCCCCTTTTAACAAAAAACACAATACCCGAGGTAACCTCAGACACCCAGCTTGGAGCATTTATCCCAGCTTTGACATCACAATTATACACAAGGTCTTATGTCCCCTCACTGCTGTCAGCCCCATATACAATTGCATGTGTATACAAGCTACAGCAAATCTACATGAATTGTATTTTCTTACTTTTCCAGTAGGCTCTTACTAAGCTCATCATTTATCAATGTTGAAGGCCACATTATAATTTTCTCTCAATGCATGGAAATACAGGTTGTTAAATGAACAAATTATGATTTTACTAGTGTGACTTATTATGCAAGAACTTATCAAAAACTGATTTTTGTACTTGTAAGTTGTAACACTATTGAGAGAAACTGTTTGTTTTGATAAACTGAAAAACAAAGTGTATATATTGACTTAAGTGGAAGCGACCTATTTCAAAGTGACGCAGACATCTAAGTGGCACAGACTTCTGAGTTGCATCTCCGACTTTTAAGTTGCTCTATTTTTCATTGCAGACCGGTGGGGATTAGTGGTGTCACATCGGGGTATATTCGCACATACACTTTGGGCGTGGAGCTCCAAACGCCTTAATATTCAAATAAAATGTATATTTTTCAATCCCAGCACATATACTTATCATATATATCAATGAAACTTGTGCTGTTTTGAAAATTAAAAAAAAAATATATCATATTTCTACGATTATAATAGACAGCCTGGCCAGTGGCCATTATCATAAACAATACAAGTTCTAAATGACAAGCATATGAGTATATAGAGCAAACATCCGCGAGATTTTTTAAAGGATCAGACATAAAAAGACGAGGTCAACGTGGACATATCGTGAATTAAAATGAACTTTTAAAATGGGTTTGCAATAACATGTATGTCCATGACATTGAAACAATACAAGTGTATCAACAGATAAAGAATTGATATAATTTATTTATCATTTACACGGAGTTGATTCACGAGTCACTCAGATGCATTTGTCCTTGAAAATATACTGATAGAATGTGATAAATATTTCATTCGTCCGTCTGCGTGTATTTATTTACTGACTAGTGTGACAAGTATTACTTAACGGACACCCGATACACAAAGCTAATATGACGGATAAAAGAAGGAAAGTTCTCATAGCCATGGACGGAAGTGACCATTCTAATGCCACATTTGACTGTGAGTGTTTATCATATATTTGTTTTTTTTATATAGAGGGTTTATGATGCATCAACAAGTTTTCATACCAAGCAAGTCAGTCGTTGCTTTAATTTTTAAAAATGGGAAATAACTCTTCTCCAATTCACCTGAATTTACTGATAATGTTGATCTTAGCAAAAGTATAAATATTTAAGTTTTCATTTTCAATGAATGTGTCATAGTACATTGTATTTGTAAAATTCTATTTTTAGAATGCATGTTTTTTTTTTGATATTTCGTCAACTAAATAAGTGTGAGTAGACAGAGGGTGAACAAAATGAGAAGATGTGTGAACAGATTAAGATGTAGTGCGAGGAAACTGAGGCCAAGAGTGAATAGATTGAGATTCAGTGTGAACAAATGGAGATGAAGTGTGAGAGTTCTAGTGTGTGTAGATTGTGGTGTAGTGTGAACAGACTAAGGTCCAATGTTGAGCAGACTTAGGTCTAGAGTGAGATTGAGATATAATGTAAACATACTGAGATTTATTGTGAACAGATTGTGATGTATTGCAAATATACTGAGGTCTCTGTGAGAAAATTAAGAAGAAGTGTGAGCGAACTGTGGTGCAGTTCGTCTAGACTGAGATGAAGTGTGAGCAGATTGGGATGTAGTGGTAACAAACTGAGGTCTAGTGTGAGTATGTGCTTTGAGCATGCAGACTGATGTCTAGTCATCGTCAGTTGTGATATAGTATATTAAGGTCTAGTGCGAGCAGATTGCTCACGATGTTGTTAACATTTATTTTCAGGGTACATGAAAAATTTACGTCATAGCGACGACCATGTCTTGCTAGCCTGGAATGTCGACACATTACCTTCATCGTATGGAAGTATGTCACACATTATATATTGATCCATTGTGCATCAAATAAATAAGGCGAATTACCAAATCTTATCCTAAACACACACGATGTTTTTGATCAGCAAATTGAATCCATCTAAATAAAGTCGTCATTTTAAAAGCATTTCATGTTTAGTAGTGGTCATCGCCCGTCTAATGGTTGTTTATTAATTCCTTCCATATGTATGCAGTTACTTATAAAATTAAAGAATGTTGATATAGTTTTTAACGTTCATTTGCTAACTTAAATATACGATTTTTGTTGTAAAACATATTTGTTGCAGACGTAAATCTGATGACAGGGGACCCGGATGTTATATCACGGTCTATAAATGAGCACGCAACGCATGTAAACCATATTGTCAAAACTCTCCAACAAAAACTCACTGATTCAAATGTAAGTTTATTATCCTTGTACCTGTGTACAAGAATCTGACATCCATTTCCATTTCATATTAACAGTTATGAAAATTATTCAGAAAATAACATTGTAGCGATTTTATTCTAACATTCTTTATTTATTAAATAATTAACGTGTAAATCTTCATATGGAATCACAGCAAAACGCCTTTTTAATTTATTCTTGTATTATTTACATGTATACTCTTTCTATACATCTGTGGGCGATATAGCTCTGTGGGACTATTTTTGACGTACCTTTTAAAATTCTTATAATTCTGTGATTTTGTAGATTTACATAAAATTAAACGTTGCGCTTTGTTCTAAATTGCATATTTTTCTATTCAAACATCATGCTTTCTCTCTAAAATTGTTAATAATAATTACTTCGCAATCATGACTATAAGTTGACTTTCGTTTGCGTCTGCCGACACCTTCTTTACGGGTGTTTTTTTCCCGCGCTAGTATAAGCAATCAAACATTGCTCTTTTTTATATTATAAGGCAAAAAAAAAAAAAAAAATAGAAAAAGAAAAAAAAATGTGTTTGTTTTTTCGTTAATATGCTACATATCACATATGGAAGTGAGGAAATATCAATATTTAATAATATCCCTTTATAGCCAAGTATCATTCAAGGCCAGAGCTAACGCATCACTTACAATATGTTTATTATATGAATCTATTATTTGAAAATAAGTAGCGTATTGCGTAAAGATCAATCAACACATTATAGTATATACCAGGTAGATTTATTTGTCTAAAATATGCAAATGTACAAATAAATCTTAAACATATCAAATATAAATATCACAGCAATAGTAACGAAATGGAACCAATTCAAAACCAAACTATTTCACCTGCACAATCACTGTAATATTCTGTTCAATACCTAAGGAAACCACCTTTGACTCCTATTATCTGCAGACACCTCTGCCTCACCGGAAACCTTGTGATATGTTTCTCCATTCCCAGGGACTGTCGCAAGTTAAATAAGTTACTAGGAGCTACTGACTGACTTCGAGCCACCAGAAAAAAACACCAAAAACTAGCATTTAACTTTTAAGTAAAACATTTCTATTTCTGGTTATAATTCATAGTGAATCGATTATAGTTAATATATAATTTAATTATGTAAGATCATGTACATAACGCACTCAAAATTGATATATGTTCCCTTAATAACAACACATGTCAGGTCACATATAGAGCTATATCTTCGTTTGACTAATTCTTGTGCAAGAGCTCAGACTTATGATCATTGAAAAAATATTCGGCATGTAATAGATTAAAAAAGATCTCCAATTATTTATGTACATTTTTCAATTATTTATGCACATTTTCACAGGTGTCAGGATGTGTCTTACAACTACACGGCCATAGTTCTGGGGAAGCTATCATCAAAGCATCCGAACGGGAAGCCGCCGACATGATTGTTGTAGGGAGTCGGGGTCTTGGGACGCTCCGGCGGACATTTCTTGGAAGCGTCAGTGACTTTGTACTTCACCACGCACATATCCCAGTGTGCATTTGTCGATTTGATAAAGTGATTAAATGAAAAACTTTAGTGAGCGCATGTTAGAAAAGAACATGGGCCCAAAACGTTTGATTGTTGTTATTATGATGAAGTTTTAAATACAATGTAATTGGCAATTTATTAATTGAGTATGCTTTTGTATTAGTTTTAGGCGTTTTTGTTTGACATTCTTTGTCCTAAGGTCCAGATGAGGCCCTTTGGGTAATTACTAAATCAATTACGTGTTTTTGTATACTTTGAATGCTTCTCTTAAAAAAGAGATTTTTTAAATGTCAAATCGAGACAAGAATGTCTCTCTGTTGTTTTATTTTTGTATATCATGGATATAAAATTTGCAATTAAATATTAAATATAATATAAACTGACTGATCTTTAAATACAACATTTATCATATGTTGATCAGGCTACGGCATGCAGCATCAGAAGGACGACTGGATCTTCGTTTATAAAAAAAGAAAACAACTAAGAATTAACACTATATAAAAAGAGATTGAAGTCGAGTCAAGTTATGAAGTTTTTACTTTACATCTGCTGAAAAATAAAGTCTTCTTTGGTAATATTATAATAGAATTTGTTACTTATGGTAACAATGAGGTGTTGCTGTTGTTGGAAGTAAATTTGTTTTGTTGTTTCTCTAGTAAATTAAACAAACACAGTCCAAACCAAATAAGAAAAAAGGTTCGTCTGTAAAAATCATTCTACTTACGCCTGATAAAGATTAAATCAGGCTTGAAATTTAATCGTGATTTAACTTTTATGTTTCTATTTTCTCATTGCCTTTTAGCAAATCTTTATTAACGTCTCGTACAATATGAAATGAAGACATAAAGGTCATTATTTGAAATATGTCAAAAATTTTCCGCGACGATCATTTGTTTTCGTGTGGGGAGGGCGCAATACTTTGACCCTGGAGTCATAATATTGTGACCGGGGAGACAGTATTCGTCGGGGATGGGGGAGATAATTCTACGGGTTCACTTTACGTTGTCACACCCACAGACACTTGGGGTGTGGAGCTTAAAACGCCTTAAAAATCCAAATAAAATGTATATTTGTCAATCCCAGCACATGTTCTGATCATATATATCAAAAAACTTAATATAAGCCGTTTTGAAAAAAAAATCATATTTCAACGTCTATAATAATACATATACTATCCTTTAGAATATATATGCCACTACCAGTAGATATACTTAAAATAAACATTTCTTTGCTTAATTTTAATCATACGACAAGGCACAATTCGATCGAAGTTTGAAGACCGCTGCTTAAATCTTTAGAAAAAGTCTTGGTTGAGAAAAGTCTCAAATGTTGGGAAAAGGTTAAGTAAAAGTTTTCTTTTTCCTTGTGAGAATCTCGCTCGATTTTGATTTTTAGACTATCTTAGCTTGAGATTTGTCTCAGTTTGAAAACGTTAGTGAAAGCCGTGCGTGCACGACCCATGGATGCATCTTTGACTTGCGTAAGACCGTCAAGAAACATGACTTAGTTCAACGTTACCATCTAGCGGTTAGGCTCATAGATCTCACACCAAAGGCCTTCGATTCTTACCATACAAATAAATTAAATCAGGTGTGTGCCAAGACATACACGTATGTACGCACGTGCATGCAATTGATCGTAAAATTATAAAACGCTAAAATTATTTATAAACATGTAAACAATATGGTTTGTTTGATCAGTGACCGATGGGTTTATGTCGTTGATTTCAAACTGTTGTGGGTATGATCCCCGCCAGGTGACTACATATGGATTCAAGATTACATGCGAGGAAGCTATCCAGCTAGCTTACTGAAAGTAGCCTACCACTCAAGCCGGTGCTAGTGGGTGTAATGGATGTTGCACTCATGTACAGACTCAATCAAACTGAGCCTGCAATTTTCTAGTAATTTTGTTGTGATTAATGCTTCTGAGGGATCACACCTTACTGTACTGTATCCAGATTTTGAAAAAAAATATGGGTTTGAAGTTCACAAATTGTTGTCAATATCGAGAACCCTCAATATCGCGCTTCTTCTTTTCACAATTTAGCGGAAAATAACGCTTAAACTTCACAATTTCAAGAAAAAAAATCGGGCTTTGACATTGTCTTTCTCAAATCAAAAAAGCCCAGGCATGTTTCACAATTTAGGGAACAATATCTAATATAATTGTGTTCGATTAAATATTTTAGCCGTGACACATGACGTCATCATTTTTTTTGACGAATTACGTCATATCCGCTGAGAATAACAAAACAATGTGACAATGGAGACAATGTGTATAGATACTGAAATATAACGATACTATGAATAAGAATTTACTTTTATTCTTATTGTTGGTCGTTATGAATTACCAGTCCACGGAATGCTGGGACTATTCAAAATACAAGTAAGTTTGCTTTTAAGTAAAGTTACAAATTCGACCCTTTGACTTTGTATCTGAGCCTTTCCAAGAATATTAGATACCTTTAAGTTAGCTAAAGATACTTCAGCGAACAGGTTTTATAGTACTTCTAGACCTGTCGCAACGTCAAAGTAAAAGCGACATATAAAGTTATGGAAGCCAGAACTACCTTTAAGTTTTACAGAGTGTGTCCTGGAGTATCTGCTTTTACACTAAAAATAACCATAAGACACTTTTCAAATTATATGCATACCTGGCATTTCCAGAACCAGAACGAGGTTTAGTTGGCATGAATGTAACACAGTGACACCGACCACACTTATCATTTTAAACATTTTGCCGGAATGTATGGTGTCTGATTTGTGGCGTGTCTAGATTTTTCTTTGTGGGTCCCCTGGTGATAATACAAAAATACAACTTTTTATTACCAATTTGTCACATTTTAATTATAAGCTTTTCGCTCCAGGGGTTGCCAGATGAAATGATGAGAACACAAAAATACAATAAATTTCACCAGGCAAAACTATGGTGGCTGACTTGTGCCATTTGTGATTTTTCGCCCCTCAACCCCGCCAAGCGAAGTCAAGAGTTAACAAGTTAAAAATGGCAGGGGCGCAGAGCAAAAATAATAAATAAAACTTCGACCTGCCTGGTTGCGGATCAAGATTTAAGAAATTAAACAGCTGGGGCGCAGAGCAAAAACACACTAATTAGCGGGGCCAAGCGATATTTAATAAATAAAACTTCACCCCGTGCCCCTGCTAATTTGCGTGTTTTTGCCCCATGACCCTGCCACCAAGCGAAAAGTTGAGAATTAGCAAGTTAGTATGGGGGAGCTCGGAGCAAAAACAAGCTAATTAGGTTGGGGCAGGAGGTGACGTTTTATTTATTAAACTTTTTTTTTTTTCACTTTTTGTTTTTGTTTTTTTTGTTACACTTTGCCCCGTGTTCCCTCTTATTGGTGTGTTTTTGCTTCACTCCCCCACCATTTTTACTTGTTAATTCTCGACTTTTCGCTTGGCTGGGTCGCGGGGCGAAAATATAAATGGCACAAATGAGCCACCATAGTTTTACACTATTTTGCAATGTTATTTATTATCTGATCATTTCTGATGATTTTTTCTTTATTTTTTTCACAATTTATTGATATTTCATAGATTAAACAAATTGTAAAAAAACAATTTATAAAGTACACAATCAAAACTTGATTACACTTTAAAGAGTAAATTATTATATTGTGAACAAAAAGTTTGGAAATTTAATATATTTTAGCAGGGGATGCTGCCAAATTTACAAATAGACTGACAAATACTTTTAAATATAGATAGAAATGTCTGGTTTTGATTAAAAATTGTTTCAAATTCATTTGTCTTAATAAACAAAATATTTGCATGAATTTTCATTTTGCAAGAAACATAAAAATCAACATGCCAATATTTGGAAGGAATTTCAATACTACCGGTATATTTTATCAAAATTGGCAAGGCGGCCCTTAATGTCACTGTCAGTAGCTGAAGAACTGGTAGGTCTTAAAGCTATTTTGTTAATGTAAATATGGAAGGTGAGCTACATAGAATTAAATTTTGTAAGATGTTTTTGCATTTATTTCAGTCTTGGAAAGCTTCTTCGAATTGGTAGAACAGGTTGGGACAAAGCAAGTACACTGGTGCAGAGAGCTGTAGGTAGAGTCACTGTCACTTCTGCGAACAATAAAGGTGGGACCAAGATCAATAGTTCAAGAAATGCTACAAATTCAACACAAAACAATTCTAAAAGTACTCAGGTGTGTTTATTTGAAGTTTTTATATGATTATATAGCACAGGTTTGGTCGTACCTACCTGTGTAAGTTTGAATTATTCTGTTTGCATACTTAAATATCCTGTGTTCTAGACATGCCATCCCTTGAAAATAATGCAAATGTACATTGAAGCATCATTGATTGAACTAACTACAAAACTGTATGTGAAGCAACAAACTGTGAACGGCCATGTTTGAGATCCCTAGTTTTTATCCCTCAATACATGTAGAATGTAGAGAACAAGCACATTTCTTTTGGCCAGACCGTTGACCTATAAACCTGGTTCTACCGTGTGGGCTAAATTAAATCCAAGTTTTATGATGGTGAATATTTGTAATCTAATCCTGCAATTTATAATGACTAAGTCTGTACACACATTTCTTTCTGACCTTTGACCTTTATGTATGACTAAACAAAATTCATTTTTTCTGCAAATAAAGTTTGCTTTGTTTATGGTAACATATTTTGATAATATCCTATTTAAATTCTTCTCTTGGTCAGTTTGTTAAGGTCCACCGCTTGTCTTATCCATCAGACATATATACATGTATATTTTTCCCTGCGGTCTTCAGACCGCAGGGTATTGGTACGCGTTTAACTTTTGAGGCATGGAGGAGCACGTGACCTGTTTTCGGTACATGGAGAAACATGTGATCTGTAAACCGTACATGATTGGTTAATTGACCTTTTCGAAAACCTAGCTAATACCGTTTGCCAGTACGTTACGGATTTACCTCTAGGGAATTAGTCCGAATTACACCTAATTAACAACAAAAAACTATTACGTGATATTTCTAATTTTCTATAATTATTTTACCGTTTAAGGTGGTAAAACTTGAATGATGTGTTTGAAAATTATCAATGTTTCTTTAATATCTATTTCAAATTTTACAAACAATACAATACAATACAATACAGTTTATTTGCTTTAAACATTATAACAACGTTTCTAGCATAATAATAGACAGGTAACATAGTTATTAGCAACAATATGCAAAACAAAATGTTATGAAATCTGTGTTAGCGGAGGGATATTTGTTATATGACAAAAATATAAATCTTTATTTGATTTTTTTTTGTGATGAAAAACAAAGATTACTACATAAATTAAGAGAAAAATGTTAATTACCTCTTCTTTTAAAGGCAAAGTATAAATATCTTGATAAATTTTGAGTCATTTTTCTAGAATTAGATGATAAGATACTTTCAAACTTTGTGATTGTTGGCCAATGGCAATAATAACTTGGCAAATATTTTATTCTTATATCTCTATAGTAAGGGCAGACCAACAAGAAATGATATTCGTCCTCAATTTGATTAGAATTGCAAAAGGTACATAGTCGACTTTGCCTGGGTGTGTCGTCATATCTTCCAGTTTCAATACGTAAATTATGTGCTGATATTCTGTATTTAGTTAAAGCTATTCTAAATTTTTGTTCACAAACATCTGAAAAATATTTCTCCAACATAAAATCGTGTTTGTATATTGAATAAAAATGTAAGCGACTAGAATTATTTATTTCACAGTACCAATTTTGTTTGTAAGTATCAATAACTCTTAACTTAATCTCTTCAAACGGAATGTCTATATCAAACTGACAATGCCAAATATAACTGAAACCGTGACTATCTAATATCATTTTGATTTGAGTTGCCCAATTTTGAGAGAAATTATTTCTATTATCTGTATGATTTTTCAGCATGAGAATTGTTTGTTTAATAAGCGAATTTTGATCTTGTTTTAATATGTGTACCCAATACTTAGCATATTTATTCTTCTATTACATTCCATCGGTAATCGTCCAGTTTCACCATATAGTGCACATAAATTGGTTGACTTTTTGACGCAAAGAACCCGTCTTAAAAATTTTGTATGTACAGCTTCGATATCTGGTGCTTTATGACTGCCCCATATTTGTGAACCAAAGTTAAGAACGGAACCGACAAGAGTATCAAATAACGAAAGCTTTTGGGACATTGAAAATTCGGCGTAATTAAGTATTTTAAATAAAGAAAATGAAGCATGTTGCGAAATACTTTTTTGGGTACAAAACTAGTTACCATTTTTAAACAAAGTTATTCCTAGATATTTAAAAGAGGAAACTATTTCAATTAGAGTGTTGTCAATGTAAAAATCAAATGTTGTATGTCTGCCACGTTCAAAAATCATAGCTTTTGTTTTAGAAGTATTAATCTTCAATCCCCAAATATTACAATAATTAACGACATCGTTTAACATTAACTGTAAGGAAACTGGCGAAGAAGAAAATAGTGCCTGGTCGTCGGCATATAGAAGTAGAAACAGTTAAAGCTCGTTTAAAGTGAAAATCCCATCAAGGTCTGAATTAATATATTGTGTTATGTCGTTGACGAACAGCATAAAAAGAAGAGATGAACTGGGGTCTCCCTGTTTTAGGCCTATATTTGAGCTAAAATATTCTGAATATGAGTTTTTATACCTTACACATGATTTAACAGTCTTGTACATAGATTTTATACCGTTCACTAATTTGAGACTTACGTTTTCTGAAATGAGTTTTTGCCATAGAAATGATCTTTCAATCTTATCAAAACACTGTTGGTAATCAATAAAGATGCAGTATAATTTCTTCCCCGAGCAATTATAGAATGTAAAATAAATATGCAATCAATAATTGACTTCCCTTTCTGAAAACCAAATTGATTTTTTGAAATTTTGTCATGTTCATTTGCCCATATGGTTAACCTATTGAGTAAAAGTTGTGAATAAATTTTAGCCAAAATATTTATTAATGTGATACCTCTATAATTTTTAGATTCGTTAATGTCACCCTTTTTAAATTTTGGTTCAATTATTCCTTCTCCCCATGAGATAGGATATTCATTTGAATTAAAAATTTTATTATATAACTTGCACAAAAATGGTGATATAATATCATATGCTGACTTAAGCATTTCGCTAATAATATTGTCTGTCCCTGGAGATTTGTTATTTTTTTGTGAAAATACAGCGGTTCTAATTTCAGTTTCACTAAAGTTTTTATCTAATTTTTCGTCTGTGTGGTTCTCATAATTTTCTTCATTTATAGATTGCGATGTATCACCAAAAAGAGTCCACGTCTCATTTAGTAAAACAAGATCATATTTATTTATAAGTTGTAAAAAGTCATTGTCACATAAATTTCTTTTTAATCCGTGAACGTTCCATGATAGTATCTTGATTGACCCCTCATGACCCCGCTAATACGAATCCGGTTTAACTTCAATATTGTCAACGAATAATTTTTTGCCCACAAATTTGACATGTTTGCCGTCCTTTTTTGCTTGATTCATTATGGGATACAATGGAACTCTGGCGTCACGAACGGATTTAGGGAGTTGGGCCCCTATCCCGCGTCCGGCTTCCTTCAAATCGTCGGCATGATCGAACGAAGCTGCTCTCACTCTTTCACGCTGATGGCGATAATGAAATGAAACTAGGATTGGACGAGATTTTTTTGCACTGGCTTTGCCAAGCCGCTGAACCTTTTGAAATATAAATTCATGAGTGTCTTCGATTTTTAACGTTTCAGCACAAAATTCCTTAATTAGGGTTTCACAGTTTTCATGCTCATTTTCTGGGAAACTGTAGAACAGGAGGTTGTTTTGAAGAGACTGTATTTCGAGGTTCGTAATTTGTTCCTCAAGTCCACTTTTTTGCGCGAGGAACTCGGTTGATTGTTGTTGAATAGTTTTACATGATGATCGTAAATTTTTCATTTCGTTTCGCGCCTCCTTGATTTCCGATTTAATTGAGTCGTTATCTTTTGTGAGAAAATCACAGAACTTTTCGTTGTCACTTAATCGAGTATTCATTGATTTCATTTTTGTTTCAAGATCAACAACCTTAGAGTTTATCGTATTTACCGTTTTTTCTATTTTATCCACAGTTTTCATTTGTTCTTTGATATGTTTTACATCTTGTAGTAACTCAGTTGCCCAGGGAGGTGCGAACCCAAAGCTTGCTGCCATTGGTGGCGGGCTACCGGGGTAGGGCGACTGCATCATATTGAATGGCGGTTGTGAGTAAGACATCTCCGCGGCAAATATTCCGGCATTAAATTCCGAAACAAAATATGGACTGCCTTGTTTACTCTTCTTTAACGTAGAATTATCTGTTATTGTATCGTGTGTAAAACAGTGTGTAATGTGATCTCCTTGTTGAGATTCAATTGACGATAATCCCGAGATATCCGTGCTATAATCTACATACAATGGCGAGCTTGCTTCACGTTTGTTTTTTCTCTTATTTTCACATTTTATGTCATTTTTTTCACTATTTGGTTTTTTAGACATCTGCCCCGTATATAAATCCAATTACTATCACAAAAAATAATAAGAGGATATTTTTTCGTTTGCGTGAAATATGGTATATATTTTCACGAAACATGATAAAATGCCACATATTTTCACGAGCCGGTACGGCGAGTGAAAATATGTGGCATTTTATCATGTTGAGTGAAAATATATACCATATTTCACGAAAAACGAAAAAATAACCTTTTTATTTAATTTCATTATCAAAGAAAATGGTAACGAATCCCCTTGCTTGCTACCAACTGCAATTGTACAGCGCGCAGTAATTCATACGTAAGCACGCGCTGTTTGGCGCTTCATTGTGACGTCATGTAAACAACTCTTTAAACGTCTGTATAGCGTTAATTACTGAATTAAAGATATTGGTGTTCGGATTAATTTTCTTAGTTAGACCATTTTCTATCATGCTAGATAGTTTTCAAAACAAAATTCAAGAAAAAGTTTTTTGTATTTATCAAATTTTTCAAACAAAACGGCGAAAGAAGTCCCTTAAAATAAATATGAGTTTTGACTCCGCCCACTTTCATATTTATTTTTCATATTTATTTTTAAAAAATATGAATTATATTTGACTGATATAGCACCATATTTCATGGGTAAAATTAAATAATATCCAATATATCCAAAAAGTATGTAAAATTCAGGTTAAATGCACGAGCTAAAATCCATGTTACCTGCCTTAATCACGTGACTTTTAAACCAAACAATAAATTTTTTATACTGAAAATCTACAAAATTAAAATATTCGTAGTGGCATCTGCCATACTAAATAATGATATTTTCTGCGTAAACTTGTGTGTTTACTTTAATTTTTTTGCTCGGAATTATTCAGAAAATGGTATTTAATCATTTTCTTAATAAGAAATAATTGTTAATAAGAAATAATTGTTTTATATTCGACATTTTCCGGTCTCAGGTTTTCAACGGTCACCAGTTTCCAAAGACCTTCTTCTATATATATCGATTATTGTCAACTATATTCCTGATACAAACGTTTATTTATCCCCCCAAACAATGTTGAAAATAGTTAAATGAAATATCTTTATATCATTAAAAAGTGTTCCCCGCAGGAAACCATTTTACTTGTTACATTGTTTGTTTGCTATACACATTGTATTATGTTTCATGCAATAAAATTGGAATTTGGAATTGGACTTAGACCTTGTTCAGCACTCAGCCTCACAATGGTAAAGATTTGAACCAAGTTACATAACAATACTTCAATGCATGTAAAAGTGTGACCTTGATATTTGACCTAGAAACCTAGGTGTTGCACAAGACATTACATGTATATAATCAACATATCTTTGATATTGCAGTCACACTTGAGCTCTGTAAGTGAAACTCAGTTTATTCCATTGACTGACAAGGAGAAGCAACTCTTTCAGAGGATTCAGACAGCATCTGATAAAATAGCATACTTACTGAAATTGTTCAATGTATCAGAGAGAAATGGTGATAATAAGGCTGCTCAAACTTTGTTAGGCACAACACCGATTCATACCACAGCTGTGAACTCAAAAGCAGCTTCTACTACAAAAGAAGCACAGCGTACGACAGCGAAGCCATACCCTGGAGCATACGAGGGTTTTCACCCAATCATCAATGTAAGTAAATGTAAAATATATATCTTAATACATAGTGCATAGCAACAAAAAGGCTGCTTTGTATGTACTTCTTGTAATGTTCCTACCAAATAACATTCTCAATGAAAGAAGCTCAATGGCAGCATTGATGTTGAGAGAGTCATATCACTATTGATAATATTATGCACTCAGAGAACATATGTAATTTCTTTATTTAATTATTTGTCTGTTTGTTTGTCAATCTTGACAACTTTATGTTTTGGCAATCAGCCTATTGATAAGTAGGCTAAAAACAAGCTAACAACATTTCAACTGCGTTGCTGGTGACCTGTAAAGGGGTATATTTCATACTTCTCATTTTATACAACTTATCATGCTTATACAGGTCATTTCTCTGAATAAGGCTGTTTGTGGTTGTTGTGCTTGTACTACATGTAAGCTCTCGTGGGTGCCTTTGAGTATACTCAACAATAAATCCTGCCCATGTAAAAATTACTCATTGATACCTAAACATACTGAATTGTCATCATAGTTTGCTGCTAGCCTAAGCAAATTTCACAGGAATTTTTTGTTCAACATAAGCAACACTGTTAGTTTTCAAGATTCATTGAATAGATATAAAACTTTTGGTTTTTCACCATCACACAAATATTGTAAATGCTGTGCAAAAAGTAAATTGATTTGAATTTTAAGGAAATGCTACAGGTTATTTAAAATTAATACAGTTATTAGTAATATGCAAATTTAAATTTTTAAGCTCGACTTTTACCAAGAAAAATTTTGAGTTATTTTAATGCAACAGTCAGGTAGTCGTTCCCTTTGCTGTTGCTGTCCAGAAACTTTAACCTTGGCCATTACATTTTTCTTTTTAAATGGATTGTCTCCATCTTGGTAGGCCAGACTGAACTTGACCTTCACTCTTAATTGACCTTGACCTGGAAGGTTGAATGTTTTAATTTTTCTTGATTTTAACTATATTAACAGGCTATAACTTTGTTATTTGAAATGGATTGTTTTCATATACATGTATGAAGACAACAATCCTTTGGACAAGACCTTTAAGTAGACCAAATTGATTATGACCTTCACTTATCAATGAAGGTCAAATTAATGAATTTTGCTTGATTTTTGCTATAATTGGCTATAATTTTGTAATTTTAATAGAGTTAGTTTGTTACGCAACTACTACTAGGTCACAACTATAACTTGTAACATTATTGGCGTCTGCGCCGAAGCGCGGCGCCCCTTTATGGAATGAAATCAGATTTTGTGAAAGGGCGACAGCAACTTCTCGAGCCTTTTAGTCGGTCATAATAAAAGCCGATCATTCCGATTGGTATGAAGGCGCTTGATTATTAATTAATCCGTGGTACAATGAATAGCGAACTTGCAAACATTTTCAAATGAAATAACCTTTTCCGTCAATAAATCGCGCTCTTCGTTTTTATGCCCCCACAATGTGGGAGCATATAGCGTTGCACTTGTCCGTCAGTCCGTCCGTCCGTACGTCCCGAAATCTTGTGAACGCAACTCCTCTTAAACCAGATGGCAGATTTTGCTTAAACTTACAGGGATGAACAACCTTAATGTGTAGATGGTAGTAAAGGAAGGAATTTTCGCTGCGTCCAAATTTAACAGAATTATAGCCCTTTGTTGATTTTTTCACTAGATACTATGTAGAAATTTTGTGAATGCAACTCCTCTTAAACCGGATGGCAGATTTTGCTTAAACTTACAGGGATGAACAACCTTAATGTGTAGATGGTAGTAAAGGAAGGAATTTTTGCTGCGACCAAATTTAACAGAATTATGGCCCTTTGTTGATTTTTTACTATATACTATGTAGAAATTTTGTGAATGCAACTCCTCTTAAACCGGGTGGCAGATTTTGCTTTAACTTCCAGGGATGAACAACCTTAATGTGTAGATGGTAGTAAAGGAAGGAATTTTTGCTGCGACCAAATTTAACAGAATTATGGCCCTTTGTTGATTTTTTACTATATACTCTGTAGAAATTTTGTGAATGCAACTCCTCTTAAACCGGGTGGCAGATTTTCCTTAAACTTACAGGGATGAACAACCTTAAGGTGTAGATGGTAGTAAAGGAAGGAATTTTCGCTGCGACCAAATTTTATTGAATTATGGCCCTTTGTTGATTTTTTCACTGTATACTATGTAGAAATTTTGTGAATGCAACTCCTCTTAAACCGGATGGCAGATTTTGCTTAAACTTCCAGGGATGAACAACCTTAATGTGTAGATGGTAGTAAAGGAAGGAATTTTTGCTGCAACCAAATTTAACAGAATTATTGCCCTTTGTTGATTTTTTCATTATATATCTATATACTATGTAGAAATTTTGTGAACGCAACTCCTCTTAAACCGGATGGCAGATTTTGCTTAAACTTCTAGGGATAAACAACCTTATTGTGTAGATGGTAGTAAAGGAAGGAATTTTTGCTGCGACCAAATTTAACAGAATTATGGCCCTTTGTTGATTTTTAGTTTTCAACTTGTGGCATATGTAGTCCAAAAAATATTTGACCTAGAGTCATAAGATTGACAGAACAGTGGCGTGTGGGGGCATCCGTGTCCTATGGACACATTTCTAGTTTTTATTTACACAGTGGGTTATTATTTATGGTATGTTATTGTTGTACATTTATCCGAAAGCTGGAAATAGAATGATGAGTTGATGACCTAAATATTCCGAAAATCTATTTATAGAGGGATGTGCTCCTATCGGTAATTCCGGTCTCTCTCGGTCTATTTTGACCAGGATTTACTAGTGACCGGCGAATAGTACCACACGTTTATTGTCTGGTCTCTCCCGGTTTTGGAGTAGATGTTTGATATCGTTACAGAACAGAACAAATAATTTACAGATAAATAAGCTTTTTTTCCAAAATGAATGTTTGTCAGTTAATTTGGTTACAATAATTAATGAACACAGATCAACTCTCAAATTTATTGATTATTTTTATACATAAACATACAATTCGAAAAAAAAACCCAACAAGAACAACAACAATAGCATGTTTCATTTTATCTTTATGAGATAAAAACAATAAATATGTACAATAATTGAGAAAAAAGGTACATTTTTATGGTATTAATACGACACTATCAACTTTGAAACATTTTATTTAATTTGTTATTCGTGGTTAGTAAAGATGCCGAGGAATTATTCAAAGTTACAAATTAGATTTTATGAATTATTCAATTGATTGATAATTTAAAAAATGATAAAGAAAAATACAAATGTACATGGTTTTAGAATATAAGAATAAACAATATTATATATTGAAAGATTAACCATTATTTACTGACTTTTTCCAGTTAATTTTATACTTATAATCGTCGGTCAATATGACAATTGAATTCTTAAAATTTATTTTACAATTTAAATAAAAAAAAGTAAGTAAACATAAAATAGCACATAAAACACAAAAAAGAAAAGAAAACAATATTCATAAAATCTGTATTTTTTTTATCAAAATTAATAGATATTACAATTATTGTATAATAAACAATTATGCTCAACATGATCAACATGGTAATATAACCAGTGCCATATTTTTACTAAGTGTGAATAGATACCTTAAGAGGGAGTCTTCGCCAATAGCGATAACATAATAAGGGACAATTACACAAGTGTGGTGTTGATCATGCGTTACACATATGGATTATAAATGATTGTATACATGTATATCCGTTGCTCGCCCATATGGTCTCTTTCCAGTGGCGAGGGTAAACAAACGCAAACACACAAAATCCGTTGCTATTAATAACCACGGTCATAAAGAAATAACAAGTAATATTCTAATCTCTAGCATGCCAATCAAAGTTCATAATGAACAATGTCTTTCGTCTGCTCATTCATAAGTGATATACAATTCTGGTAAAAACCATTGAAAAGTTTATAAGAATATCTTGTCATCATATGTCTACTAGTTGGACGCCCTTTGATGCTTTGCATCAATGCTTTTCTTGTTGCTTTTGTAGTGAATTAAGGCGAGTGATTAATGTGAAAGATATTATTGTTGGCAACACAAAAATAAAGCTTATGAATTATAGCATGTGTTCTAAAGATATTAATGCTAGCCTATTTAAAAAGGCATTTTAGTTAGATGGCTGAAAAAATAAATGATACCGGCGGATATACTAGTAGTTCTCAAATATATTCTTTTAGTCGATAGATTTTAAAATTGCTTCAGTTTTTCAGAAGTAGTTCACTGAGTTTTGTAAAAATACAGAAACAATGTCATGATCTGATTTAAATAATGTCTTATAAGTGACAGCTTGGTTGCATGAGAATTTCAGATTTGGTTAGGATTCTAAGAAGAGTTGAGAGAAGAAACAATAGACATTTTTTCTTTATTTTGGGAAAATGCCACATGCCAAATTTGAGAAATTTGTGTCATAAAATTTTCCAATTTGGGAAAAAAATTATCGTGAAATTTGCCAATTGTGGACAATTTGCTAGCATAATAAAAATCTAAATAAACCTTACTTACACTGTCCAGCTTTTTCTGTCATATTAAAAATACAAGGACAGGCTAAAATGTGTACAAATGAAAAACTGATATCAGTAAATTTGAGGATACAACTTTAACTCAGTATGTTAAACAGTCTATAGAAAATGGGTACTTTTTCTTTCAAAATTGCCGACTTCTGGATTGGGAATTTTTTTTGGATTGGGAATACAAAACAACATAATTTGGATGGGGAATGGGGCCGATAGTCATACTCGTGGGATAGGGAAAAAAAGGCATGAACAAATACACGCTGGCTCAAAATTCATTTCTGAAATGAACTGAGATGAATTTGTGAAACAGTAGACAGAGATTTAACAATAAAACGAAAACCTGTGGATGTTGTTGACATATAACATTTACATGGGCAATTTCAAATCAAAGGGGAAGAACCATGTCCTTAATAGAGGATATAGAATGAGTGTAGGTTGAATACTCAATTATTTATTGAACCAGTAAAATAATAGAGGATATTGAATGAGTGTA